TTGATGAGCGAGTTTAAAACAAAGATTCGCGCCATGTATCAGCGACCTAATAGAGAAGCGTTTCTGCAAGCGCGAGACAGACGAAACGATCTCGGCAAGAAAATGTGCAGGAGATTCGTTCACTGTCAGCATTCATTACCGTTGGTCCGATACCGGAACATCTACTTTCATGAATGGACTGCGGCACGACCCATTGCAACAGGCCGCTATCGACCATAAGCTTTGATACGATGCGCCTTTATAAAAGATGCCAGCTAGGATGAAAAAGAAAGTTGATACTGCCTTAGTGGAGGAGCAATTTCACAACCGTGCTTCGGCAACAGCTTCTTATAAACCGGCGGCTGAGAAGGCAGATGTTGCATTAATGAAGTAAAGCAGTGTAGACGTAATTGTAAAGAGAAGTTCACGGTGTTAGGAAGGGAGAGTCCGTATGACCTCAGCCTAGGTATGCATTGGTGGCCAAACACCAACCATTGATAGACTGACGTACAAGAACAGTCGCTAACTCTATGCAGGATTTTGGAAAGGGTATGCTCATGCTACAGGCCTATGTGACTGATACTGTGTCCAACACAGTGGGAGGTTGTGCTGATCATATGTCAATCGGCACCAGGTACTACCTAGCTCATTGAGCCTGGTGTAGTTGAAAGTGTCCTGACAGGAAGTCAGGTGACACAAGGTCCTACCCAGCTCGAGGAGACTGGTGTAGTGAATGGGAAGATTACAAGTAGTCATACATCCAATGGTCCTGCACAGATCATAGATTATGTGGCAATTGATGGCGAGATGAAAGGATGTCAAGCGTCGCAATCGGCACAGAGCTTATAGCATGGTGCGGTTGGGAGGAGTGCGCTAGCTGCGACAACAACGACACCCACTTCCAGATCAGCAGTCGTGATGACTCGAAGAACGAGCACCAGACGCATAAAAACGATCAAAGGCACGTCGAGAAAAGTAACCCTTCGATCAGTCTTGGTCCAAGAGGACGGACCTGCGAGCGATTTGTTCGAGTCCGTCTAAGACAAGATGTCGGAGGCATCCTCAGTTGAGGTGCTCCAACTTGTCTTGGCATCCGCCGAGGAGATAGCAAATCTATAGGAGATGACGTGGGATCTGTTCCTGTCCAAAATAAAGGAAGGAAAGATCCACGAGATAGTCAAACCAGTTCCAGAAGAGAACGTGGTGGACTGTTGCTCTTCATCCACAATGGACTAGAGCGTCTTGGAGACCGACAAGAAGAAATGGTTCTCTGCTCAAGGCTGGGAAGCCTTGAAGGACAGCCCGTTCTATGATATTCTGTGGAAACACCGTGATGTGTTCCAGCAGAAGTGCAGAGCCGCCTACCGGCCGATAGGGGAATCAGTCACGAGATTGACTTGGAGCCTGGCACCAAGTATTGTGTGACCAGACAATGGCCGTTACCAAAGGAACATGTCGATTACATCGATGAGTTCCTCGACAAGCAATCAAGGCGGGATATGGTAAGAGCGAGTCGCCTCACTCAACATAAGATGGCGAAATGAGGAAACGTTCTGCATCACTTCAATGAAGTTATGAACATCGGCGCCAAGATGGAGGACCAAGACATTGCGATTTGCTTCATGCTAGGTCTTCCAGAGATATTTAAAATGCGGTTTAGAACTTGGAGATGAGCAATGCAGAGCTGAGCACTCAAGATGTGGTCAAGGTGCTTAAAAAGCGAACACATTAAGCGAAAAGGCGAGGAGATGATAATGACAACGACGACGGTGAGAACTGTAGATACGACAAAGGCATTTAGTACCCAACGTGATCCTTATCAGTGGCAAAGTAGGGCACACGGTGGGTCGTTGCTGGACAAAGCTAAAAGATGAAAGTAGAGGAGCCCGATGCGGTGGCAATGGACGTGGACGCGGGTCAAACAATGTCCAGCGGAGACAATATGATGAAGGAAGAAGCTACGATCGAGTGGCGTTTGTATCATCGTTGGGCGGTGCAATTCCAATGAGCAAGGGCGTACCTGGGATCTGGGCCGTGGACAGTGGCGCAAGGCACCACATTTGCCATGACAAGTCCAAGTTTGCAAATTTTAATCGTATCGCAATGATGGAGGGATTCTGGTAGCTGATGGCAACAAGGCAGCTATCAAGGGTATTGGGACCATCGTGGAATTAGTGGTTGTTCCGAACGGCGAGGAGCGCGATATTGGGATCAAGAAAGCGCTCTATTTGCCGAACATGATCAACAATCTGCTCTCTTCCCGCAGATCAACAAGCATGGCAAGTTCCCAATGGTATGTGACGGGGCTGCGATGTGCGTAGCTCACAAGGTACCAAAAGAAGTGGTGTCAACGGCGTATTTTATGGATGAACTCTACTGGCTTCTCACTTCACAGCGATCAATGAATTTGACGACAAGTGGCATCGATGTTATTCTGCACACGCGAATGGGACATGCTCTAGTCGAGGAACTTCGCAAGATAGTCGACAAAAAAATGATAAAGGATGCGAAGGAACCTTCCAAGTCGAATAGACAAGGCATGTGTCGAGGCTGTCAGCAAGGGAAGACGCTTCAAACCCCATTACCAAATAAACGCGCCAAGCGTCAATACAGCATCTTCAAGCTGCTGCATTTTTATATCTGCAAGACCTATGGAGGCCACTCGCTGGGTGACAGCAAATATCTACTGCTGATAGCGGATGAAACCAGCGGATGCATGAAACGTTTTTGCCTGCGCTCCAAGTCGGAGAGCAAATACTGTGTCAAGAAGTATATATGATGGTGCAGACGCAGTTTATCGTAAGGGTCAAGTTTGTGTGGCATGATGGAGCTTGTGGGTTTGCAGCCAACTCATTCAAGGCCTTCTACGAAAACGAAGGCGTTGAGCAACCAAAACAATTATATATGCACATAAGATCAATGGAACTGATGAGCGCTCCATCCGGACTATCGTCACAATTGTCCGCAGCACACCAAGCTGGGGTAGCAAGCTTCACATGCCAACAACCGATCATCCCCAGACCAATGGTCAGAAAAAACGAGCCAATCGATTCGTAGCGGATGTATTTTGAACGGCAGCGACTCCTGAAGAATGGAGCAAGCAATTTTCCTTCGTAGAGTTGGCTATCAATAAGAGTGTCCACGCTTGAGAAACCGTTAATATAAACGGAATGCGCTATCCTCGGTCGCCAGTCTCGTTTGTGCGCAGCCCAAGTCTGTCAGTAGGGGCATCCCCTCACTACGCTCGGAGCGACTGCGAAAGAGGGCCATAATTTCCCTAGTACCCCTGACAGCATAGCAGTGGTCATGCTGCAGTGCGTAGTCACGGCAAGAAATGCCTCTTCTCTTTGATGTAACGTAATATTGTTATCCAACAAGACCGACATCATTGGTGAGATAGGTGCTAAAGGCTTAAGCGAGGCTCACTGCTTTGTAGATTAGCGATTAGCCATCACACGAACAGTCCATGACGCAATGGCAAGCGCACAGGAAAAGCAAAAACAATATGCGGACCAACATGATAACAAAAACAATGAGCACTTGACTGTGGGGGAAATAGTCCTATATCTGCAACCCTGCCTAAAATTGGAACCTGTGTACAGTACAACTTGGTAGTAATATTAAACTAATTCCCTAATTCATTGGGCCGTTTACTAGGTTCTAGACTACTTATACGCATCGGTATAGCGAGACCGATGGTGACGTCGACTGTGAGTCGAGCGTCGGTGTTGAGAAGGTGACGGGGAAGGCGAACGGCTCCCTGTCGACGAGTAAACGTCGCATGGCAGAGTACTCGGAGAGCGAGGAGGACCCCGCGTGTGACGCAAGTCTCTCGTCACTAACCGTTGTAACAGGTCCAAACGAAGTTTTAGCCTGGCGATCCTTCGCTCGCACATTCTGCAGATCCGAAGTCATCGTGAGATAATCAATTCGTCAGTCGACGGCAGCGCTGTGCATCTACGTCTGGACAGCAGCAGGGTAGGCAGCCGCGAGCAGGTGGGCGTAATCGTCGCTCCTATCGGGCGCCACCTACGTTGATGAATGCGGCTGGAGCCAAATCTTCCTTGATACAAGGTTGCTGTACCACTGCTATGCGAAGCAGTAGTTTCAGATCCTTTTCCAATGGAAAGAGTACGCGAAGAAACTCGACTCTTGGAAGCTGGTTGACGCGTTGCGCGCCGACGTACCTGGGCTGGTGTCTGCTTACGAGTATAAGTACCAGCTGCAGCCACTCCGCTATGTCCATACGGTAGCAGGGGCGGAGTGACGAGGAGGGGCATAGGGTACTTTACCGCCCGATACCTGATTCCTGAAACCAATACTACGTTTTTACGGCAGAGGCCTCTGCCAAAAGAACAATGTGAGGTCATTGACCATCTTTAGTGCAAAGGACGCGGCGGGTATGGTGCGCGACATGTTCACACTCTACACCTACTTACTATGTTACAAAACCAACGGTAAGTGGCGTCGCTTTATGGCGAGCTTAATTCGCTGCGACTGTTGTTTCTCTGCATAGCATGCAAACTCATACGGCGCAAGAAATCTGCTTTATATTTGTCGGTTGTTTCATTTGAAAACAACACGACTGGAATAGGGGAAATGCAGCCATTTCAGGTGGCGAGAGCCAGGAGCTCTAATATCTACGAAATGTTAAATCAGATTGTATCTATCGTTTCTACGTTGCGTGCTTCATGTTAAGGAACATTCATTGCGTCGTCCATTTATATTTAATGAGATTCCGCTATTGTCGCGTTGCCGCTTACACCATCCGCAACACTAAGTGAGGTAACATGATCAATCTCAAGTAATTGCATTGACTTCACTTGCTCCCTCTTGCAAGAAATCTAGTCACCTTTTGACAAGACGGCGAAGGCTCGGAATATATTTTGAATCATCGAGAAAACTAGTTACACACAGCCGACTTGAGACTAACGTTCTCTCTTGTAAAGTATCCTAATGCCAGCATTTTTATATGATTGTACCAGGAGTCATCCAAAGGACGCATTGGTAGCTAGCGTCACTTAGTTGCGCGCTTGCAGCATGATTTCTTCTTCCACTACGGTATACTCGGGAAAGTCCGATGGCTCGCAAAAGTACGGCTGCATCTTAAGTGTCAACTCCTTCGCCGCCATTGTATGAGCATCCGTGAAATGTTTTGGCATCTTGATCCGCACCACCGCCTCATACAGCAGCGTGTCTTCCATTGGCGTAAGCTCAGGAAAGATCGAAGGCTCGGAAAAGTGACGGGCTGCAATTTCCTCCAGTGACCCATTGAGGTTCAGATCTGCTAGGGCAGCAGCATTGTTGAGGCTCGTGAGCGGCGCTTTGGCGGCCTGCAGGGTCATGAAAAACAACCGGGATGCGGTAATGGGGCGAGCAAAGAGCTGATGCTGAGACGTTAAGGACCGAATAAGGTGCAACATTGTAAGAGGTTTTCAGTAGAATTATTAGTGAGGCAGAGGTAAGCTACAGCGATGTTGAAGTTATGCGATTTTATTATCGTTGACACTATAACTGTTTGCATATAAGTGTTGTTATCGAGCGAGAGGAAAGCGCACGTCTCATCTTGCGAACTTGAGACAGGTGCTTCTTTTTCAGTAGTAAAAGATCGAGTAGGATGAGGTAAACCTCACAGAATGGTAATAGCAATTCCAACTGAAAGTTACCACCGATGGTCTAGGTCAGAATGGCCCACAATCAACAGTCCTAGCGGTTCTTCAATAAAGACAGCAGCTATTCCGCCACCCGCTCGCACTAGAGAGGAGCTTTACAAAGGAGTCATCCCATCATTTTTCTGCAAAAGGCGGCCGGCGTAAAACCAAGTCTCTGGTTTTGTTTGCAGTGCTCAAATGCACCGATCATGTCCATGCCGTTGAACAATCCCGCCTTTGTAGAGAATGCTAACGAGAGTTGTCATTCTGCAATCTCTTCGTCCCAGACGAAAAAGTATTTACTCGTTTCCACACAACTCTTATCGAACGACAAGAACTTTATACTTCCAGGCACTCTCACAACCAACCAAGGACTGACTATATAGCTCAAACAAATGCCTAGAAAACCCTGTTTCCACTTTTGCCATGGCAAATGTCGTTATGGTGATTCCTGCAAGTTTTCCCATACCATGGGTGAAACAAGCAACAATATTTTTTTTCAAGAAAGTAATAATCGAGGCTACAATTCAACAGGCCTTTTGAGTATTGGACGTGAGAGGGACGACGTTACTCGGGAGAATGTAGCAATGCCCTCTTTTTCGGTAATAGCTCTCAAAACTCAACTGATAGAAAATATAGCATCGGGTAGAATTTGTGCAGGTCATTCCGATACTTTGGTGTGCTTTTGGCCTGGTCGAGACCGGTTGGAAGTTTTATGGAAAGGATTCTTAATGCCTCTTGACCCCAGTAATCCATGGCTTGTGAATAGCCAAACACAGGCTCTAAACTTTATAAACTCCGGACTTCATGCACTGACGAAGGACAACATGGCTACACAGTTTGTAAGGGAATTAGGAAAGACTGAAGGTCGTGGGGTGTTGGTAATTCAAGAATTGCTGGATCTTACGTTCTCAAATGATGCTGGCAGATGTCGCAATGAGGTTTCCTTCCAAAGAGGATTCGTGCCATTTGTGATAATGTTGACGATGCGACGGATGGAAATAGTCAGTCAACACATGGAGGAGGCTAATTACGTGTACGCGTTTGTGCGTACGGCTCACATGCAGCTATTTCGACTCTACTTGGAGCACTTGAACGAGATTGTAGATCGACATTCCATTGAAGACCTTACCATGTCACATGAGAGTTTTCTACAAGAGTCAGAAGGTCGGAAGTTCGCACCGCTGTGTTTTACACAAGTGTGTCTCCCTATCATCCGGTTGTTGTACTTGTTGGGTAAGAAATTCAAAGATTTTATCTACGAAGACACTTTTCAGGAGACTGTGCTCAAGGTTGATACGTTGACATCAAAGTGGATTGATGAATGTCAAGGCGAACATTCTGTACTTGACTCGACGCTGTGTTTTCAGACCATGAGAGACGAAATCAAACGACTTTACAAGATGCTTCGACGTGGCGAGCGCGACATTCAAGCAGGTGCAGCATTGAGAAAGGCAGGAAAACAGATACATGGACCAGATCCCGAACCATGGGACGTGTTAGAAGTGGGCATACCTGGGAGAGCTGTGTTGAAGGACGGAAGTGTCGGTCCGCGCCACGACAACGATCGTGCAGATATAGCAGACATTCAACTACTACCTACGACAGAAGAATGCTTATCTCGTGAACCACCGCTGCTACCTGGAAACTTCCCATTTCACAATAATGCTCATTGGTTGCCCCCTGGACCAGAACGCTGGGTGGATACGCACTTTCGACTGTATCGAGAGGACTTTTGCTGGACAATTCGATCCAGCTTACAGGATCTTCATCATCGACTAGCTGGATAACCAAGGCAATCTTGCTGCTGGTCGTTTGAGAGATGCTAATGTGGATTATAACGTGTATTCGATCGTTGAAATTGATATGCCGCTAAAACATACATTTCGTCGAGACGAGCGCGGCGATAGTCCTCGTTTTTTCGAGCGTCATGGGCTTTGCGTTGACGTACGATTGAAGCAACCGTCCGTAGCAGACCTAACAGGGCGGGCTGAGCTTTCGGAGCAGCAAAGTCGAAAGCACTTATGGGAGAAGACGGGTCGACTTCCGTTTCATGGAATGGTTGCGCTAGTCACATATATGGATGGTAAGCTGCAAATGGTCTTTTGTCAGATTGTTGAACGTGATCTAGAGCGTCTCGTGGAGGATGTAGTGGAGGTAGCTTTGCAACCATTCGAAACCCGAGACTTCGCGGTTCTCGCACAATGGCGACTTTCGGCATCTTTAAAGTCAAATCAAGAGCGAAATCGCCTGCGTATGCTGCTGTTGGAGTTCAACAACGTTTTCTTGGTTGCTTACGAGCCAGTCCTTCGTACGCTTCAATCAATACATCCAGCCATCATGCCATTTCTGGAATATCTAGCACCAGAGACTCCACAGACGCCGGGAGAAAGTCGAATGGAACCTCCAATATACTGCCTTGCAGATGAATTTTCTTTTGATCTCAGCTCGGTGATACGAACCTACCCAGGTACAGTGAATGGTGGTCCGTCCCAATTACTGCTACGTCCAGATCAACAAAACTCTCGCGAGGAGTGTGAGGCTGCGTTAGTGCGCTACTCGACATTGGAGCATGACCAGGCAAAAGCGCTGGTTCATGCGCTGAGTAGCCGCGTAGCGTGCATTCAAGGACTTCCTGGTAGTGGCAAGTCGTTTATTGGCTCAATGCTTACACGGATTATTGTGGAGGCAAAAGTTTCGCCTGTGCTGGTCGTATGCTACACAAATCACGCACTCGATCAGTTCTTGTGTCATCTGCTGGATGTTGGTATTACGCGTCTTGTGCGTATCGGAGGACAATGCAAGGAGCCCCGCTTGGAAAAATTCAACCTGAACAGTCTCCCTAAGTCAGTCCAGCGTTACGAGCTAAAACTGCTCTACGAGGAGCTTGATCGAAATGCAGATGCTATCGCTTCAATACTTGAAGAGCTAAATGCAAAAACTCGCCGTCCTACATGGCAGTCCTTAAAATGGTTTCTGGAAACCAACTATCCAGACATATACGATTACTTTGCTGAGCGCTACGCCGAATTGTACGAGGATGACGACGGTAACTGGGAAGTTGCCGGCTGCCACGATATATTAGACTACTGGATCCGGGGGAACGATATTGATGCACCCCAAAGCATTTGGCAATACCGAGGTCACGGTCCAAATATTTGGATGTGGAGCCTTGCAAGACGTCGCGATGCACTAACAGAGTGGGTTAATGCAACTCGGAGCGCGTCTATAGAAGAGCTTGTACGAGCTCAAGAGACCTACCTGAGCACTATGAAGAAAATCAAGATTGTAAAAGACCAAGCAGATGTGAACGTACTCGAGTGCGCTCATATTATTGGTATGACAACCACCGGCGCCGCAAAAAATCAGCAGAAGATTACGGCTGTAGCGCCTCCAGTCGTAATATGTGAAGAAGCAGGAGAGGTTCTGGAGGCACAAGTTATGGCATGCTTGTCACCAGCCTGTCAACAGCTCGTGCTTATTGGTGACCACAAACAACTACGTCCGCATATCGCTACGTACAATCTGAGCGTTGAAAGTGCCATTGGAGAGCGGTTTGCACTGGATAAGTCGCTTTTTGAGCGTTTGGTCGCTCCATCTTCGGGCCTACCTTTTTGGATGTTGACGGAGCAACACCGCATGCGTCCACAGATTTCACAGTTGATACGGATGCTCTTTTACCCTGAAGTTCGTGATGCTCGTGAGACGCTGGAATACCCACCCGTCCTTGGTGTGGATAAGAACGTATTCTTCGTGAACCATAACCATCCTGAAGACGTCGCGTCTGCAGTCCTGGGGGCTTCAGTCCGATCCCACTCCAATGAATACGAAGTCGCGTACATCGTATCAACTCTCAGGTATCTTCTACAGCAAGGGTATCATACTAGCGATATCGCGATCCTTACTCCATATATTGGACAGCTCATGAAATTGCGATCAGCCCTTCGAGGGGAGTTTGTGCTAGAGCTGAACGAGCTCGACCAGGTCCAAATTCAGCGCACTTTTGACGTCGGCAACGCCATGGTTGCTGGTGATGACGAAGATGATAGCATTGATGAGGGGACCTGGAATGAGAATCATGCTAAATTAGGAGCAACCAAGAAAGAGCTCTCAGGAGTAATTCGCGCAGCAACGATTGACAACTTTCAAGGCGAAGAAGCAACCATCATTTTGGCGAGCCTAGTACGCAGCAATACGAATGTTCACGGGCGTGGAGGAATTGGATTTTTGAAAACTCCAAATCGGATCAACGTGCTTCTTTCTCGAGCAAAGCACGGTTTGATCCTCGTGGGTCATGGCGACTTGCTACGAGCAAAATCACCTTTATGGCAACAAGTACTTGATCAACTGCACAGCGAAGAATGTTATGGCAACGGACTGCCTCTGCATTGCCAACGTCACCCAGATTACCAGCGTATTGCCACGAATCCGAGCTCATTTGCACTACTTGCACCCGACGGAGGTTGCTTGCGTCCGTGCGGACAGCGACTTGCGCGATGTGGTCACGCGTGCCCCAAGCTATGCCATGTGGATCAGCCGTCTCACACTACTATCTACTGTACACAACCATGCCCACGATTGCAACCTGACTGTGAACATGTATGTCCTAGAGTTTGCGGTGATTTTTGTGGCCGGTGCAAAGTACCTGTTGGCACGATTGTTCTACCTTGCGGTCATGCGTACTCCAACGCTCGATGCTTTGAGGCCAAGAGGCCGTCAAAACTGAGGTGTAGCGTACTAGTTGATAAGACTGTTCCGATGTGTGGGCACGTTCAGCGCGTGAATTGTAGCACAGTGAGTGTTAAATGCACTCGACCGTGTGGTGTCGTGCTTCCCTGCGGCCACGCTTGCTCTCGCAAGGTGTCATGATTGCGTAGAAGAAACCCGGACTGCTTCGGAAGGAGGACAAGAGCTAGACTTTCCCATCAAACCTACAGCACATGGTGACTGTCAGAAAGAGTGTGAGCGATTGCTGCCGTGCTGTCACCGGTGCCGTGGCGTTTGCCATGGGAAATTGCCTTGCCCCCCATGTCAGTGTGTCTGTGACGTTTTCAGCTGTGAGCATGGATCTTGTAACCACCCATGCAGCGAACCTTGTGCTGCCTGTACGGAATCATGCAACTGGAGTTGTGAACATTGTGGAGATTGTCCTCTGCCTTGCGGTGCACCTTGCAATCGGCGATTGTGCAACCAGCGATGCACAAAATTACTCGAGTGTGGGCATCGGTGCCCCAGTGTTTGTGGAGAAGACTGTCCGTCGCGAAAGTTTTGTCATGACTGTGGAGACGACAGTGTGAAGGAGCGCGTTGTCGACGTGATTCTTTTCCAGACGTACGCAGAGATCAATCCATTTGAAGACCCTATCTTGGTTCTTCCATGCTGTTCGATCATCTACACAATGGGAACGCTTGATGGCACGCTCTTCATGAACACGTATTACGACATTAACGGGAAACCACGTGGACCTTTGCCTGAAGGATATCTCGATATGCCTCAATGTCCGAATTGCAAGAAACCCATTCGTGGCCTCCGTCGTTATGGACGCGTGACGAAGCGAGCTGCAATTGACTCAGCAGACAAGAATTTCATATCCTCACGCGCAGCGTCGGCTTGCTAATTTACAGGAACGGACAAATGCTGCGGTAGACAAAGGTGATCTTGCGCAAGATAAGACCCTGCGGCACGACCTTCGTTCATTTGGAAATACTGTGAAGCAGCCTCCATGTCAGAAAATATTTGAGGCTTGTGTTGCACTTGTGACGAAGACAATGGGTGGTCAAGGTGGAGGCGACGTGGACATTGACATGAAGACTCTACCTGTACCGAATTCAGCGTTCCCTTACGTCGGATATTACTATCTTCTTACTGCACAACTTATGCTGTTGAGTGCTACCACAACGAAAGCCGAGTCTTATGCTCGCAGAGCTTTGAATCAGTTTGTCAAAGAATCCTTTTCATTACAGTCACAAGAAGCTCGATTGGTGCTAACGCAGATACTTCTTGCAAAAGCTGAAGCGAAATTGAATGAGACGGTGAAAACTCAAAAGGAGCGTCAAGAGCGTGAGGAAGTTGTGTTACAGCTCACTTTTGAATCTCAGAGTTTACTATGCAGCTTGGCAGAAAGCGGTATATCGTTTCTCTCGAGACATGCCGATAATGTCCGGGGACTCCGCCACAAACTCGAGATGATTGTTCAACGTGCGAAGAACGTCACGTTTTATCAAAATGTCTCGATGGAAGAGATGAAAACGATTAAACTAGCGATGCAGACGGAATTTCAAGGCTCAGGGCATTGGTATCGTTGTATTAATGGGCATTCATATTCAATTGGTGAGTGTGGAATGGCTATGGAACAAACTCATTGCCCTGAATGTGGTGCACTTGTTGGTGGTGTCAACCATTCATTTGTCGAAGGTACAGTACTTGATGAGCAAATGGACTCCATGTAGTGGGGGCTGGTTGGCAAAATAATATCTACTAGGTTCGGTTACGTTTAGTTTAATCATTCAATTAATCGATTAGTTTTGCCGAAAAAACGTTAATTCAAGTTGTTTTGTCGTGCACGAGCTTAAGAATTGGAGAAAATGTGAGGTTAGCAAAGTACTTTGTCGTAAAAAAGAAGCGTCAATGTAGCCACCTTAATAAGCTTTATTTTAAATGTTAATATTTATGATACAAAATTTAAAATTTGTATTTGTCTGGTGTCAATTCATCTGTTGCTATGAGTTCGACCCGAGACGCGGCTGCCGAGACGCAAAAGACGTGCGTTTTGATTACTAGAAAGAGGGTATCATACCAACTTCATCACTAAGTTAACTTATCTATTGTAGACTCGGTAATGAAGAATTTAATCAGAAAAACTTTGACAAAGCAGTTGAATATTACTCGGAGGTACGTGACGACTTGTTCTTATTGTAATATTTCATACCTGTCAAATCTAATAACCTGTTGTAGGCGATTCGTCTCGATCCTGACAATTACGTCTACTATTCGAATCGAAGTGCAGCATACGGAGCTCTTGGGAAATGGGAATTAGCTGAACAAGACGCTCAAGAATGTGTCAAGCGTAACCTCAAATTTGCCAAAGGTTATCACCGTCTTGCTAATGCTCAGCAACAATTGGGACGCAAAAAAGAAGCCATTGACACGCTTAAAGCAGCACTGAGCTCTGCTGCAGAACCAGAAAAGGTCCCAGGTATCAAGAAATTGCTACGGCAGCTGAATCAGGAGCTGGTACCTAAAAGTGCAGTTTCGAATCAAGGTGGAAGTCGTCAAGTGCCTATGCACATTGCCAAAGAGCTACAAGAACTGCAGCCCCAGTATCAGAAGATCCAGCGGGAGTTTGAACAGATTGAGGCAAAGCTTGCGGCTTTTACGCGACAGAAAAAACGGCTCGCACTTGTCGAACAAGAGGTGGTTGATTTGCCTGAAGAGACCAAGACGTACCAAAGCATTGGCAAGATGTTCTTACAGACGAACCGAGAAGAGAACGTGATGAGTATGAAAAGTGAAGAGAAGCGAGTCGATGAACAAATATCGTCACTTGAAGCCCGCAAGAATTATCTGAACCGTCAGAAACAAACAGTGCAGGACAACATTACGGAGCTTTTGGCTCAGTGCACTTAATTTCTCGGCAGACAGATACTGACAAGGATGGAGAATGCCATGGAGATTTAATGAAACGTTCGTAAGCAAGTACGTGATCGACAAAGAGAGATGGAAATGCCCTTGATCTTCAAGATAGCAATCCATTGCACCTGTCAAGTTACGCTTCCAATTCTTTCTTCACCTCCATTGTGAGCTATCAAGATTCAAACACACAAGATAAAAAAGAAGAGGGAAGTAGGAATGCGCTAACACAATAGCATCACGTCACGTGCTGCTGTTCAACTTACACGTTTATCAAGCTCCTGAATTGTTTTGATACGTTTTGCATTCTTGTCTTCTTCTTCGTAAAGCCCCACCACTAACTGCAGTGATCACCCATACACACCACTTTTCTTCGAAATTCCTCTTGATTTGTCTTTATGATAATATAGTCGTCAGCTACAGGACGGTCCCTTTATAAATTAATACTATATAATGAAAGACTTGGTATGTGGCAGTACCTCATGGCTCGTCTCTGAAGCTTAGCAATTGTTGTAGTACACAAGAACTTACCTAAAGTGATCCCCTTAGGACCAAAGGTATTTTATCAGTTAAGAAAAGTTATTAGTTAAAGCGGTTATATTTTAGACCGCATTCCGGGAACGATCGACGCTTTTGTGGTTATGTCGTGTCGTGGTGTTGCTGCCACTTGAGGGGCCCTGCCATCTCTGATACAACGTATATAATACGTGCAACAAAGTGCCAGACTTACTCACTTTTATATCATTTCATTCAGGTTATCATATACTACAGGTTCGTCACAAAATTGCCAATGTTCATTCTGTCCACTCATAACTGCCACAATTTCGACCATCAAAACCTTCAAGTGCGTCACTTTTCATCGGACATAATTTTATCAGTTCCCACTGGCCTCAAATATCCAGTCTCGCCTTCGGTCTCTCGATTAATTCACCTCTCTCTCCTTCCTCAGGCACTTGTGTCGCCCACGACGAAGCATTTGAGACACTATTACACGAACAGTAACAACACAGCAGCTCGTGAACGGAAACGAGATCGAGCGATGCAGGCACTTCAAGACGCTCAACAGCGATTTAATGACCTGGTCAACAATGACGTACGCAACGATTAAAAACCCTAATGTGTTACTTAACCGTTACTTTACAATCCCAACCCCTAACATGTGTGCACTAATGCTGTGATATGTGGACATGGTACATCAAAGTGGCCCGAACGTGTACCCGTAGACGCCATGCCGGACTATAACCCGACGTATATGAAGGAAGGGTTTTTACAAAAAAAGGGCCAACGCTTAAAAGGATGGAAACGACGCTGGTTTGTCTGTGATGGACGGTCTTTGTCCTATTATATTTCTCGAAAAGACCGCAAACCTAATGCAGTAATTCCATTAGAGGGATGTACGGTACAAGACGGAGGATTAAGTGAAACGTGGAATTCCCCTCGTATTTACTTGACGGATCCTGCTTCTGGGATTATGTACTGTTTATCCGCAGAAGAAGGGACAGTTGTGACGCAATGGTTGGATGTCCTGCGAGTTGCGGTGACTCGTGTAAACAATGGGGTGACATTAAGTGAGACACATGAAACAGCTGGAACGGGACCATCTGGACTGGAGAATCATAAAGGAAAAGTAGGACAGACGAGACGAAACCATGGACAACAGATGTTGACGTCATCAGATGAAGAAGAGACTCGAGTTCATTTTCGACGTGGAACGTCCATGGGATCGGTTTCTGCTCCAGCTCCAGCTCATTTATTGAAATCAACAACTTTATCATCATCAGCTCTCGTTGGATCAAATGTACCGGTATCAAAGAATGCTACAACAAGTGGCGATATTAAACGGACGACAGTGGGAAGTAAAAGTTGCAATGTTACTGTCTCGCCTTCTACGCTGCAGTATCAGCATCATCCTCATCGTCCTCATCGTACCAAGACTCAACGTTTGCCAACGACTATTTCACTGGAAAATGAGCTTTCACATGGTTTAGATGTGCTCGAGGCACTTTTGTCCACTCGCAGCGTCACGGGCTCATCATCTTCCATTTGTAAACACGTTGTGTTTCGGCCGATAGGTGCATTGAATGGGGTGCTACGCAGTATTGGAACCGATTTGAGGTCGGGAAAACAATATGCACGAGCGAGCGTCGTCCTCCCCGTATCATCGGAAGTGGCGGCAATCTTGCTCGCTGACCATGCGCGTCGTGCTGAATGGGACGTTCACTTTCCACAATCATCGCACGTAGCCACCTTTGACGACGCGACGGATCTTGTGCATTTGTCAAGTGGAAGCTTTGCACAAGTTCAGCGGACAAAACCTTTTGTTGCACCTCATGTTGCTGCCACGGCGTGTGCCTTATGTGCTGTATTTTTCGCGAGTACTGCATCGTGGGGAGCGTTATTGACTGCTATGGTATACGCAGCCGCTATTGGCGGTATTGTAAGCAGCATTGATTACAGTGCATTAACGGCACCCCGTGATCTCGTGCTTTTGCGTCACATACGCGAGTCGGCTGTGCCTGATTCACAGGATTCAGGCGAGGAAAAGTCGGTGGACGAGATGGGTCAATCTGTGGTACTTATGCTGGAAAAGTGTGTGGCCAACGAGCTAAAACCAGTTATTCCAGGAACTGTGCGCGCACACATAGGATTAAGTGGTTGGTTGCTGGAGCCGGTTGCTTCAGGTCACGCCACACTGGCCACTTATATCACCGACTTGGATATGCGGGGGTGGTTATCACCTTTAACGCGGCAAAGTTTCTTGCTCTCGCGCCTGGACTGCGTATCTGTTCTGAGTGAATACGTCAATCAAGCGCAGCTGTGCGGGTCGGAACTTGGGTTTGGTGGTGGTTTGGACGAAGATGGCACCGGTGATTACGAAACTGGAAGCGTTGGATACAAAGACACTAGCGAAGGAAGCTGTCTTGGAGACGTAGCAGACGGCGAGTCATCTGCAATATTTCACCCAAAGACGTATATGCGTGGCATGATGCCGTTACCCAGCGGCGGTCTAAAGTTGATTGACAAAGAAATCGCGAAAAAGCAGGGTGGCGTGGTAAAGGATGTGATCAAATCTGCTGGAGCAAAGATCCTGGAGGGCAAGTCAGCTGTTAGTCTGTCACTGCCTGTGCGTATTTTTGAACCTCGTACCAATCTGGAACGTGTGTGCGATTTAATGTTGTATGCGCCGACGTTTTTGAACGTTGCGTATGCGGAGAAGGATGCGATGGAACGCTTCAAGTACGTCATAACATTTGCAGTCGCTGGGTTGCACCACAGTATTGGACAACTGAAGCCATTCAATCCAATACTGGGTGAGACGTTTCAGTCGACGCTGAATGATGGAACTGATGTAAGTTGTGAACACACGAGCCATCACCCGCCAATTAGTAACTTCCAGCTCACTGGTGAGAAGTATTGCATCGCTGGATTTGTACTTTGGCACGCTAGTATGAGCGTGAAATCCAACGCTATGCTCAACACAAACAAGGGACCTGTTCGCGTTACGTTCCCTGACGCTGAAGGTCTTCCTGGAACGACCATTGAATATAACCTGCCGTACTTGCAAATTGGTGGTCTGCTCTGGGGAGACCGTACGGTTGACATCATGGGGAACATGATGTTTGAAGACAAGAAGAACCACCTGCAGTGTGAGCTGCGCCTGAATCCGGATGCGAAGTCTGGTATGGGTGGTATGTTTTCGAGCTCAAAGACACCCACGGACTCATTTCGCGGGGTGGTCTTGGACACATCAGTGTCACCTCCGCGAGAAATATGTGACGTCTCTGGTTCATGGCTGCACGACCTCGTCTTTGGTAACAAGACATACTGGAGCATCGAGAAGTACCAGAGTGGCTGCATGATGCCGTACCCTGAAGATAAGATTTTGGCATCTGACTCCCGACACCGCGAGGATCTACACTATCTGGCAGCAGGCGACTTGGATGAATCGCAAGAGTGGAAGGTGAAGTTGGAGGTCCTGCAGCGCGCTGACCGCAAGGCGCGCCTGGATGGCCGACGTCCCAACCACTGGTCTTACCGCAGTTCTCCTGGTCATTAATGCGAACAAAGCGTTCATCAACTGGCATTTGTAGCACCATCATAAACAAGCATTATTTTCTGTGGCCTAGCTCATTATCTTTCTCTGCTATCTGGTGTTGCAAGCTTACTTCCACGCCGTCTGTAGCGCCTTGCGCTGCGCGAGAGCCTTCGTGAGAAAAGTCACCACTAGGAAAGCCAAGCACAGGAGGATTAGCATCTCATGGTTAAAGTCGGACGGTAGCAGGTCGAATGCCTTGGCAGGCGCCATGCGCACGTAAAACATGTCGAGACCGTGAGCAAACACTAAAGTGGTTGACTCGAGCTCGGCAGCGGCCGTGCTGATGGATTTCAAGTTCTCAACCGTACGGTTGTACGTCAGCATCGCCTGAGGCCGGTTGTAGACTGGCAACAAGGGCGAGTACATCATCAGCCCTTCTGCCTGTTCCTCGGGCGTGAGTTGCCTCTCAGGCTGACGTGGGTCGATGAAGTTGCGGGCCAACTTGAAAATCTGGCCAGTTTCCATACCGACCAAGATGGACTGAGGTGTGATGCCGTGCGCCGTTACTGTCACTCCTAAAGACTACAGAAAACAATCAGTAACAACGTTACTATGTTGGTACAGGACATTGTGCCGACACTTACCGTAATCTTGGTGGGATAAATGAAACTCTTCTGAAGCACAAAAGGCGCCTTTGGGTCGAATGATGACCGCGTGGAAGTCCACGATGGACGCTTCCACAGATTGAGTGAGTGCATACCCACAGCACCGTCGAAAAGCGACAGCGACACCATTTCCGTACGCTTTTCCTTGGAGTTCCAATACGAGTACACTAACCAGTTCTCACTCTGCACCATACGGACGGGTCCCGTGGCGTGCGGGTGGCGAAGCCGGTGGATAATGCGTCCTGCCACCGAGTCGATCAAACTTACGTGAAGCACAGATGTCGCCTCATTGTTACTCTCTGAGGCCTCTGTAGCAATCGTAGCTAATCCAAACAAGTTCGGATTCAGGTACTTAATTAGAAGCGAGTCATCGCCAGTGATGGTCACTGCCGAATCCACGACAGAGTGATCATGATGGTGAGACGTTGCAATCACCTGCTCTTCACGTGTTAGAACAATTGACCACACTTCACGAGCACGATAGTCCACGCTGTTGGTATCACCGTTGTTAGTGATAAAGTAGCCGCGAAGCGCATTCGCGCTTTTGTCATACCGATAGAAGTAGAAATGTTCCAGTTCTGGATGCGTGACATCTGCTGTATCCTTCGGGTAAAGCGATACCCGCAGTGAATCCTCCGAAATCACAGCCACCGTACGACGGGCAATCGGTTCTTTATCACTCGCAAGGTGCTTTCGCTTGGGCAGTACAACCACCCACGATGCACTCTCACTAGCACTAGCACTAACTGCATCTAACTGGTGGCCATCATTGCCATCAAGCCACACAAGCTCTGTCAAGTTAGAAACAAGCAACAACTCGGCCCCAGAGCCGAGCACCGGATGATCGCGCGTTACAAAAAGCTGGTACTCCGGGCCCACGAAAAGAGACCATGCTACAGTGCTAGCCTCGGCGCGGATAGCAAACAGCTTGCCGCTCTCAGTAAGCACCATGATGTATTTGGAAAAGCCAAACAAGTGAGCATTGGGTGGCTCCTTGCGCGCAGCACGAGATCTGTCCACACCACGCTGGCGCGTGCTTTCGTCAAACAGTGTCGAGGAAAAGGACATCACCTTTTGAATAAGCTGCTGAAGATGCTTGATCTCAATTTTCACCTCCTCTGTAAAAGAAGGAATGCGCTTCAGCGCCTGCTTCTCAATCTCCGTTTCCGCCGGTGTAATCCAGCGTACACGCTTGATGTTCGCAAGTGATTCCTCACGCAGCCACTGGACGTTGCCGTTGCTAGCAGCACCAGCCTCATTGCCATTAGATGTCATGAGGAGAGCATCATCCTTCAAAACCAATACAGCACGACAGCTCGGAACCGAGTCCTTCTTCGTAGTTAGACACTCCACGAAAACGCGCGAAACATCACCGCCAAAAGATGCCATATCCAGCTCAAGATCCCACGAGACGGAGATCAAGCTCTTGCTAAAAGTGTACAATGTAATTTGCACATTTTTACTGCTCTTTGCAGCAGCGTGGAAGAGAACCGAGTCATCTGTAGCCGATTTCATCAGAGCACCTTCAGCAGCAACTATAGCAGCAACTTCCACCGCAAGTGCACTCGAAATCTTCAGGACAGCACGCTTTCCAGACGCTAACTTCACTACCAATGAGTTTGAGATACTTGTATCGATCGCCACAACCTTGTCGTCTTCTAGCTTCAGAGAAGCAAACGGTATTTCGATAGCATCATCCTTGTTTTCCAGTCCTTGCAAAAGTAGCTGGTCTTTAGTGAGTGTCACTGCTACAACTTTTCCCTCTTCATTGTCACGGCGCAGCACCGTAGTCGCAATCACGCCGCTCTTGTCCTTGCCCTCAATCTCCGAGCCAGTGGAGTGGTCCACCACACGACTCGACGCAAAATCAAAGTGTAGCACGTGATTACCCGCCATGACGAACAGCGTCGCCTTATCAGATCCCACTTGCCACGATAGCTCAGCAGCCTCGACAGCTGCCTTGGTAAAGTCTGTAGGAAGTGTCTCCACTTTAACGTGTCTGTCCTTGACACTCACCATGGTCACACTGGAAGACGTTAGTACCACCGAATGATCTTCATCCAGTGAAAAGAGACCACCAAACACAGTATTCTGCTGAGCAGGACCGATGTTCGTCACGTCGTCCCATAACAGGACACCTGAATTTAAATCCCAAAGCCTCACATTGTGCCCCGTTCTGCCATTACAAGAGCCCGATTAAGCAAAATACATCCCCTCAATAAGAATAACATCCTCTCTCTATACTATTATACTACGTACCCCGACACGGACAACAGTCCATGCATTGTGAGCTGAATGTCGTCAATAGTATCCCCTAAATAGTAATAAAGGCAACAATTCATGTTAAGTACAGCTTGTACATAAAAGGTCCATCCATACATTCAGCAAACCTTCAGGAAACACGCGACGCCATTGGATCTCGCCCGTCCTTGAATCCAGACGTGCCAACGCCCTTGAATGGTCGTCCGAAGCCACATACAAAGCGCGTGTCGAGTCATGGATCACGGAGCCATCGAAGACGACGGCATGGACACGCCCCAAGTGTTGTGTACTCCAGTCAAATTCACCCGCTTGATCCGCATACAGAGCATTGACTAGAGCCATACACAGTGCCGTAGTCAGCAGTAATAACCTCTGCAGCCGCAACAGCATCATTAGGACGTCTTCCCTCCTATCAGATACTTGATTGACGTGGAGTTTGTGTGAGGTCCATAAAATTGGTGTGGGTTACATCATGTCTGTGACGGATGCTGTCAATGAGTACTTTTTTGTGCTCTCTTGATAAAGTATACAGGCAAAAACTTCATTACGAATAAATGCGTAATCAAGGAAAAAGGGGGGATCCAATTGCATCTGGCGACTTGCCGAGTATTCAGTAATCTTGCGTCTGACTTTCTTCAGCGAAAACAAACGCATGTTTCTAATAGACACTACCACCACTTTAAATAAAAAAGCCGCCGTATGTGGACTATTAAATGCTTGAATCAAAGTCTTTTGCTACTTTCCTTGTGCAAATGCACTATAATGCAAGTCCTACTTTGTGCGTCTAATGGACAAGTCAAGACATCCAGACAATCAAAACCTCTGGTCATTACCAACAAATTCTTCGAAGAAAAGGTCTCATATACTCGTTAGCAATTTCATCTCACTTCTTGTATTCAATCTCAAAACTCAGCAAAACGTTCCACTGCATTTCTATATGTCTCTGTTCCTGTCTCGGTCCGTTCAATCCATTCTAAAATCAGCAACAGCTTCGAGTGGTCTCTCTTCACCCCATGTCAGCGGATAAAAAGCGTCTACCTCTCAATGTTTTTGAGTGAAGCCTAGTACTTGGGTGGATATTGCTGCTGAGGAGGATATTGCTGCTGAGGCGGGTACGGCTGAGGCGGGTACGGCTGATACTCACCTGGAGGTGGACCGTAACCCTGTGGAGGTGGACCGTACCCCGCGTTACAAGGAGGCGGACCATAGCCAGGCTGATGTTCCACCATGACGGGCTGGACGTACACGGGCTGTCCGTTGCGATATGAGTTCGAGTAGCGACGATTACGGTCGCTGGAGTCTGCACCAGAGGCACAACAAGCACCACATAGTGCACCGCACATACAGCACTCAAGCATGTCGCATTCGTCCATAATTGTAGGTACTTGTGTTCTGGAGGTTGTGGATTTAGTAGAAAGTCGCTGTTTTCACTTGACGTCGAGGACGGAAAATGGGAAATGAGGATGTTGAATGGAATGTGTCCGATATTATTGACTAGACTTGAGTATACAGAGTAGTCACTTTTACGTGGTGTATAGCAGATACAATGAGATGTACTGGCCAATGAGGTAAGAGAAGCATCGCCATCACACGAAGAGCCAGTCCACCGGATAATTATCTCCTTCTGAAAAAATTAACTAAAAATCCATCAGATACTACAGATGGCTACATTTATGTTAACTTTAATGATATACACTGTTGTACCTCTAAAATCTAATGATGATGCGCTTGTGAGATCAAATGTAGGACGTAACCACCACCCCTTGACAGATGCCTCTGTCTAGATGCCTCTGTCTATAAAATATTAAAAACAAGATGCAGTCGAGATGCTGCTGCTTCTTCTTAAACTTATGTTCTAGCACGCATGCGTCGAATAGTTTGTTAGTTTAACCAGAAGCAATCAGAGATTTTTTACTTTGTTGTTGCTACTACTACTTCCCATTAAAAAGCAGTATCTCTACATCTCTATGGTCATCAAAGTAGTATCTCTATGGTGATCAAAGTCACACAAGTGATGCTACTTGCTACACTCATGTATTCCTCGGTGCTTGACGCATTCATTTCAAATAGATTCGAAACCGTAAAAGTTCGACCATTTTCTTTCATAAGATTTGACAACTGGAATGAAAAGACGATGCAATCGTGAAAATGAAAGATATTGAATGGAGTCCAAGTGCAGCCAAGGACGACTCTAGGGCGTCGAATAGATTAATAGTCCTCCGCCGTATTTCTTGTATGTCAAAGTTTGCAATGAATGACCTTCTTGACGGTTCAAATATGATGTATCAACTAAAGACCTTTACGGGCATATCGTGTTGCGATTGTACAACGAACCAACAGGTTGTGCAATCGTCTGTTAGTGATGAGGATCAGCTCAAGTCCAATTACTTGTGGTTTGAAATCGATGTGCTCAATGTTGCGCTGGAAGATACTGTGACTCCAGGGCAGCACGCTTGGCTTGTACAGTGCAGATCCCATACTGGCTCGTATCATCTGCTGCAAGATGACGCTCATGTCATACAAGATGACGATCAATTAAAAAGCTGATCAGTACACTACAGTTAAAGCTTGCTCAGTTGTAGATGATGGCATTCATCTATTCAGCCACGATCCCACGTTTAAAGAAGACTGACGATAAGCTCAATCACAACTATAAAAGACATGCATCCTTGCTAGCTCCAACAGAGCCATTGCCTATAACCAATGCTAGGAATATAAATGTCCAAGTCTGCGCTTCTTCATAGAGCAATGCATCATTTTTATTGTCTGCTTGTTGTCGAACAGAGCAATCTCTACGACATTCTCGGTGTAAAGCTATCAACGATTACGGTTTCCAACTCCTTCGTGCTGCTGCTTCAACCGTGACACATCATCATCAAGGGGTTTGTGGTCGTGAATCCGTTTAGAAAAAGCACGTTCGTCTACTCGAACGAGTCTCACCGTCTGAGACCCACTCTCCCATCGTGATACTCGCATTCTTGAGTTCCCATTCTATTTGGCACTATCTCTCTTGCGCCACACAAAAGTCGGCAACGAGTTCCATAGCAATGGAAACGTCGATGGGGGACGTGCTAGAACTTACGGTCTTACCGCCATTATCCCCCACCATCGAGCGTGCCTTTACAGAGGCTTTTGCAGACATGTCAGAGCTCGAGGAGAATAATAAAGACACTGCTATGATCAAACTAGAGCCACTCTGGCCAGCCAGTACAAAAGACTTGACGTTGTCACCACCTCTAGTGTCCATGACTTCGTTGTCACATAATCATCCGATACATATGAGTGAGATCAGGAACATGAGTCCAAGTGGAGGCAAGAAACAAACGTTACCAAAGGATTTGACTGAAGGCAAACGAGCAAGACGTTCGGCTATTGAAAAAAAGTCGAGACAAAGACGACAGAACGTTCTCAAGACAATGAGGGACGAGGTTAGTGAACTAGAGAAGCTGTACGATGCAATGACCAAGCGGATCGAGACAAGGGAAGAAAGTCAGCTGAGTGATGCGCGACAGACCGACAGTTTTAGTTTCTGTTCAGCTGTAGACGAACTCCAGCGCAAATACTCGAAGCTCACGTTAATCGCTCATGCATTGGAAGAAGAGCAGGAAACGTTGCAAGAATTGTTGCACCAATATACAGAATTCCAGAAGACACTAACAAGTTTGTCGGATCAAGATGAAGAGCAAAGGAATCAGACGTGGAACACGGGAGTGCCACCGAGTTTATCGTTTCAAGCTAGATTTACGAAGCTGACGGCGACTGAATGTTACGCACTCGTACGGGAATCGTACGAGGAGATAAAGAGGTTTAACAATGCTGAGCACTTTGTGTCAACTGGAGCAAACTTTATGGGCTGGACAGATAAGAGGAAGTACGACCCGATATCAGGAACACTTCAGTACGGGTTTACGAAGCAGTTCCCGCTTGAGGACTCTGAGAATCTGCTCATGAAGACTTGGGATATCGTCACGGATGCCCCTAAGCTGAAAGACATTTCTTTTGACCGGTCGATCAACTTTCGGTATGAAGTCCTGCAACGCATGAATGACGACTTGATCATTATTCGACGAGATCACAGGATCCCAAATATCGAGACGACGTTTGCCACGGTGCAACTCATTTTCCGCCTGCAGACTGCTACTGGCTACACACTGTGCATGCGGACGATTCCGTCGTCTGAGATTCAAAATATGCTAGAACCTCATGAATGTTTCTATGACGTCTTCCTCTGGTACGTCATGATTGCTATTGAATTTCTTTGTCCGTGACGCTAACACTTGGATGGTATGACAACCTCCAGGACGCAATTTAATCGTATGTACGACGAATTCGGTAACCCGGCAGGCTGCGAGTTGATGTCTGCTGGCTCCATTGCCGACCAAGGACAGCTCAAATCTACCTACTGGCTTTTTGAGCTCGTGTGCTCGATGCTGCGCTGGGAAAGTCGCTGCGTTGGTTCCTTATTCTTGAAACAGACATGAATGACCTTCTTTCACAAAGTATTAGAGCTTACTACAATTGCAGTAGTACATCATTCATGGTTGTTGCGTGTTGTTCAAAGCGCAAAAAGTCGATTCTCCAGTCTATTCCACGGGTCATGTCGAGTCACTTTTGCACCAAAGTATCAGCTATTTGTAGTGCAAAAACGACAAGGACCTACCTACCTACCAGTCTCCAATACAAATATCAACTATAAAAGGTGAGCCAAGAGAGATCCAATGGACCAAGCGATCACCACCTCGACGCCTACAACACACGAAGTTGTGACTTCTGCCGTGATTAAGAACCTTGCATCGCTTGGGAAATAGCTCGATTACTAGCTGTCTCCATGCTCATGAGCTATCACGTGCTCTGTCCCTTGTTTCGCAATGCTACAGTGTCCCTGTGCCTTCCAATGGGGCATGTGCGATTCAAAAATCTCTCTCGGATGTCACGGACTTGTTGCAATATCATCGACTTTATACACGAGATGGTCCCGTAGTCGTGTACACATCAGAGCAATGTACAGTGATTGAAAGTGGTTTACGTCTATTGTGGTCACATGTGACGACGTATCAATTGCATGCGGCATTGATCGACTTGGTACGAACGATCGACTTTATGCCACGCTCGGTCGTCTTATGGAAACAATCAAGAAAGCGCACAATGCGTGAGATTCTACAGAGAGGACCAATGCAATGGATACTTACTCGTGCTCAGCATATTACAGTTGAGGAACGGATTCGAAGCTTGGAAGAGACACTGGAAGGACATTTGGTACACATGCAGTAGAGTCATTGATCATGTTTGGAAAGAGTGTTCTTATTGACATGAAGTTTAATGTTATTAGAGAAAGATTGGCATGTTAAAGGAGTTGACGACGAGGTGCTCAACCACAGTCCTGGACTATGAGCAATTGGCCGAGAGGATGAAAGAGGGGATGACGTTGTTGGAATTGGTCTACAGTACTCATGGCATTAGTCCACCTCGTAAAGGGCACGGATCATTCAAGTCACAGGATCCGTTGGTCTTTACAGCTTTTTACTTTGGTAGAGTGAAGAGGTCTTTCACATGTGTAGCTAGCTCTTCGTTAGTGTGACTGACGATGGTGGTGGTGGTTGTTTTCTTAGATAGAAACATTTTGGACAAAGGTAGCAGCGGTGTCACTTCTAGTAAAGATGTTGTGAACTCATTGCGTCGAGTCGAGCAGAATTTGACAGTGTTTCGCACTGCACAGACGCAGTTTTCACGATGCTTCCAGACGGCGATTGCGCCTTGTCGTCCTCCGTCAAAGATCCGTCAACGATGGCTTCAAGTTACAAGTGTCGTGATTTGTCTTGCTGCTGGAGGTTTTTGGGTGGTAAACAACCAGAAAGAGTTCCAGGCCGGAATTGTCGCCATGCGTGCAATGTTGCAAGATTTTCTGCATGAGCATATGATTGAACCACTCCAAGCGATCTTCGAAGAGGTGGTGCTGAACCAGAAGCCAGAGATCCAAGACGCGATGGCATTACTGGATACAAAGCAGAGCTTGCGTCGTATGCTGGCCGATTTCGTCAAGGACACGAACCCCAATATATCGCAGACGGACATGAGTCGCATCATGGACGAGATGGACATGTCGGTAGTGTCACTGCAATACGAGAAGCAATTGGCTGGTGCGGTTCGCAATTTAATCACGGGAGATATCGTCCGAATGTTGCTGATCCAAGTGCAGTTCATCAAGAAAGAGCTGATGGTGGCTATGGGCGCCATCGATGAGTTGATGCATGCAAACCAGTTGAACTTGCAGATCCTGGCCACGATCCCAACGTTCCTCGTTTTTGGTGGTTTGTACAAGTTGGTCACCTCAGCCTTCCATATGATCTACAAGCGCATGAGTGACCGACTATACTACGACTCAAGTGAAATCGCTGGCTTTTTGCGCAACAACTTGCGCGATATCGAACGCCTACTCAACAAGCAGAACCGAGGTGCAGTTGTTGGCGATGATGCAGTACTGGGCGTTCGCGAACTTGGCTTTCTCATTTTGTTGCTACACCAGCTGCGTGACCTCTTTGAGGCCTACCGCACACTTTTCGAAGAAGAGGAACAAGAGCGTTTTGAAGAAGACCTGGACGATCTCATTGGTGAGGGTCTACTCGTCTCGCAGCAGCTGGCCGTCATTCAGCGTATGTACCATTCCCACCCGTTCTTATACAGTACCAAGCCGAACAAGTCGCGCTGGCTGTTGGACTAATCAGAGCAAAGTGTCTTCTACGTATTGGTATCACATCAAACATACCTAGCTGAGCTGATAGTCCTGCGGGGAGTAGTACTCGGCGAGCAGACGATAGATGTACGATGGCTGGTGAGCCCCAGTGTTGGTTATGAAAATCCTCACACACTCGGGCGGGACGTAGTCGTACGCCGGGTTAAGCACCTCCAACTAATAGTTGCAAGCACAGTAGAAATCAATACATATCAGCAAATAAAACGATCAGCTGTAAACACACAGGCAGTTCGTACATTGTCAACGGTGTCTTCATAGTTGTAGATGCTAGACGGAGCCAGAAGCTCGCTGAGAACATCTAGGTCGTGGGCGTACAACGGAGACAGCTTAATCAGACCCGCGACGCACACCACAGGCACCGAGCATTTCTTGGCAGCAAGAGCGATATTCTGCAGTCCAGACTGAGCAATAAGGCCACCGTTGGCAACAACTGCAGCAGCAGGAACCACCACCTTGTTCACACGTGCCATCAAAGCAAACACAGCACTGTCTGGGATCACTGTAACATCAATGCCGCTCTCTGCCAGAGCATGAGCCGTCCGTTGGCCATTTAACGACGGTGCAGACTCGACTACAATCACCTTGAACGAGCGCTTCTTAGCAGCCGTCTTCAAAAAAGCTTCAACTGACAATGACAGTCCAAACGTCAAGATCACTTCACTGTTTATGAATTTTCATCAAGACAGGAAAAAAAGAGCATGTTAGCAAAGTTAAAAGAAACAATTGCACGCAGCAGCTACGTACTCGGTATGAATATACTCCATAGCTTGATCAGCAATATTTACATGTAAACTATCAATCTCATCCACAAGTTCTGCAATGCCTTCCATCACCGACTATCACAACAACCACAACATCAGATAATTCTCGAAACAAAAGACCAAAAAAAAGTCTTTTACCCCACCAGTTTCAAATCGGCAATAGGGATCGATAGATCCGTGTCTGTTCCTGGTGTTAAGATCGTCCCCAACGACCGTGACAAATTCATATTGCGACTTGTAGAAGAAGTAGAAGAACAAACTGAGACGGGCGCCGTCGTATCCATTGACGATAATTTCAATGCATTCGAGTGCTCTTCACGAATGATGTAAAGCACACGACGTACGACGTTGCCAATTGTTAATTCATGAGCATGAGCCTTTGTAAGCATGTGTCCTAATTGACGAATCTTTTCCAGAATTTCTCCAGCTGTGGACCATTCGACCGTCTCGAGCTGTAGCAATCGTATACCGCTTGTCAGTTAGGGTGTATAGTATACACATACCCGTATGTATACATACCACTTTACGCAGTACGTTCGTAGTCATTTTGGCAGTTTCATACGACCCCCGTAATTGTCTAGTGTATACACCACGTGTATACACTTAGCTCTCATTCTCTGTAAAACGACTCCAATCGTCAACCTTTTACATAAGAAACGAATACGAACCTGCGCTTGAGACTCAGCACTAATTCATCAACTAGTTCACGTACTGTAGGCCATTCTTCTAGCCATTCCATCAATTCCTTTGTCATGACGTTCGGATAACTTTGTAGCCACTAAAAAAATGCTGCAAATTGTATGCGTATTAAAAATAAAAGTAAAATAACGAGCCCATTTTTTCCATCTGATTCCATTATTATTATATTTGGGTAAATACCTAACTACCTCAACACCCCAAAAAAAACCCTTTTCACCCGGGTTTTTCTCTAAATAAAGTGGGTGATATTCTAGCCACCATCCAGTAGCTATAATGGTGTTGGGTTTATTACTACGCGATGCCGAGGAACGACGTCTTTCGTTTGATTTTGAACTGTTATTACCGGAAGATGGAGAAGATCATATTGATACTGGAGAACGTCGAAATGGTGCAATTGTAGGTGTCGGAGGTGCTACTTTTGGTCATTTACCTGTCAAAAAGGATTTTAAACGAGGCACCGTCGTCTGTCGTCATTGGCTTCGTGCATTGTGCATGAAAGGGGACAATTGTGAGTTTCTGCATCAATACGACATGTCAAAAATGCCGGAATGTCGATGGGGAATGGAATGTCAAGTCCCGGAATGTCCATTTCGTCATGTACCCGATGAAGAACGGGTGGAATGTGCTTTTTATAAACAAGGATTTTGTTCGCACGGGTCAAGTTGTCGCTATAGACATATCAAATTAGCAAGGGAAGAGTGTCCCGAGACGGCGGATTTTACTCTCCAAAGTAAAGTTGCAGATGAAGAAAATGTCAAACGACGAAAAGCTCAACCGGTGAATGAATTTTTCAAGATTGCAATCTGTAAACATTGGGAAAAAATGGGCTCGTGTCCATTTGGTGATGAATGTCACTTTGCACATGGAGATACGGAACTTCGACCATTTCCTAAAGGTGAGAAAGAAGAAAAAGAAGCTCAAGCTGGAAGACAGGGAGGATATCATCAAGTACCTTTGGGAGGAGCATTGTTTTCAAGCGGAGAACGACCATCAGGAGGAGCTCTTTTAGGACCACCGTTGCCAGATGATGGCAAAAGGGTTAAATATTTCTTGGTACAGTCGGCGAGTTATTTAAACTTGGCACATTCGGTGCATTATAAATGCTGGGCTGTCCCTCCTGATGTGTTGCAACCGATCAAGACGGCGTCAGAAACGTCGGATGAGGTGTTTTTGTTCTTTACAGTTGGATCGAGCCGACATTATCAGGGTGTCGCGCGTCTAGTGACTGGTGCAACGGCTACTATTGATTTGGCGGCTGGAGAAGATTTGATGGCTGGCATCGTGCCGTACGAAGCGGATGGGAAGTCTGCGTGGTCTGGTGCGTTTGGTATCGAGTGGCTCCGTATTTGCGAATGCCCGTGGGAGCGGCTTGCTCAGTTTGAGAACAAACTAGTGGCTGTTCCTGAATGGTACGACATTGATCCAAACTTGCTTGTTGTGATACTATTCTTGTTGATTCTAACAATTTGCATGGTGTTGATCGATTACAGTCCGAACGGACACGAGCTGGACGTGGAAACAGGACATGCTCTTATGCGCTTGCTCTATAACCAGCCTCAGATTAAACTTCACTACCGGTCCGTGGAAGATGAGCCAAAGCTTCCTGGAGGCGCAGAAGAGCTCGCGACTCGCCGACGGGAAGCGGCGGAGAGCTTGCTTGGCGCTCCCGGTGGTGCGCCTGGATTTGAGAGGACCGCACCGGCGTGGAAAGTCACTCAGCCCGGGTTTGTCTTTACATGCACGTCAGAGACGATCGATGAGTGTTTTGGTCGTCTGCTGTTCGGTCTGGCGAATGACCACGAGGCGATAGCCCAGCAACATGTGAAACCAGGTACTCCGCTATTTTTGCTAAATTTGTCGGATCAGCACTTTTTGGGAATCTTCGAGGCCGTATCGCCTGCAATCGTGAATATGATGCCTGGCGCTTTTTGCCACGGTCCAAACATGCCATCACCTTTCCCAGTTCAGACGCGTTTTGCTGTCATGCTGAACGCACCAGCCTTGCCCACGTCAGATCCACAGATCAAGAAGGTAATTGGAGACAATGGAATGAATGTTGGACCGCTTTCTCTGCAAGTGACCCAGCAACTGGCAGATGTGTTTGCTGAGCGCAGTGGTGCAGCATTCCCACCAAGCGGACCGCCGATGGGTCCTGGTGGACCTGATCGCTTTCGTGGAAAGCCAGGACCAAGCGGACCTGGTGGTAGACCTGGCGGCCACGAGGGATCCAAAGACCCTAATGAACCGGCATTTCTAGAGAAACTTGTGGTGGGCATTGAAAATGACAGTGATTTTGGAGTCACACGTCGTATCATTGGACCTGTTGGATCGAACATGAAACGTATCAGCGTCGAGGCTGGTGGAAATGCCAAGATTCGTGTTCGCGGTCGTGGTTCTGGGTCGAAGGAAGGAGGTCCAGAAGAGGCTGATGAACCGTTAATGATTCTGGTATCTGCAGAGAACGAGCGTAGCTTTCGCATCGCATGCACACTTACGAGTGAGTTGCTTGCTGTAATCCATCATGAGTTTCAGATGTTCCAGCAGCGCGGTCCATCTCAGCACTTTCGTGGTGGTGGCGGCAACTTTGGCCGAGGCCCTCCTGGTCGAGGCCACCATTAGTGATTCAAAGATTGCTTTGACGAATCGTTCTCATGCATGCTACCAAGTGCTTGCTCCAACAACCAATAATTGACGTAAACCTTCATCAATGTCATTTCATTACTAGAACGTAGCTGCGCTCTGTATCTAATCCCACGTCAAGATCGCTAACACCTTGGCTCATTACATGCATGCTATCATGACATACCTTTCTCACAACACGCGCTTCGATGGCAGCACACTTGAGACGGATTGCGCATATGACATCAACCGCTTGACAGACGTAAGGTACTTCCGCTGGGACTCGTTGTTCATGACATGTGCCTGTTTGTTCGAGTTAATCTTCTCCCGACCCGTACGTTCATGGATACCGACCATAGTTACACCAATCGGCCACGCTGCATTACCAATCGCCAACTTAATATAAGCATCATTCGCCATTACAAACTCTCCTTGTCGACAAAACTTGACAATATCGACCAACTTGGGCAAAATATCCGACGGTACTTGACGTTGTTTGCACAACTTGAACAGTGGTCGAATATAATCTTTGCACTGCTTCATCGTCTGGACAGCAATTTTTCCTTGAGCGGTACGTTTCACATGATCAGGTCGACACGTCAAGTCTTTTTCCCATTTGTGCAGCATTCCTTTAAAAAAGCGGTACACCATTTTATCAGCATCACTCTCTTCTTCTGCTTCTTCTTCTTCTTCTTCTATAGTTTTCCTATCATTCTTTTTCTTGTGATTGTCACTCGACGTTTCAAATTCTTCTGCATCTTCTGCTGCATCAGCTGCTTCTTCTTTTTGATCGTATGTACCCATTCCACCAACAAAACGATTGCGAATATCGTGACCAGCTCCAAGCTCATCGTCATGTCTCGTCGCAGCGTCCATTTCAAGTCGACGAAGCCGCATCATCCGATCCTCTAAGTTTTCATTAAAAAGTGTAATGGGTTCACCCAATTCTCGTAATCGTCGACGCATATCAGGCCAGGATAAGACTTTTTCCGTATTTGGGTCATTATTTCTCTTGGTTTTTGTATAGTCTAAATTTGTACCCATTTTTGTCGGCGTCTCCAGCTCGATTTTACGTTTTTTTAGCGTCATTTCTTGCTGTTTTTGCGCCGTTTCTTGGTCCAAAAGTGACTCAATTTCCGCCCGACGAAGATACTTTTCTTTTGTATGCTGTTTCTTTTCCTGGACACTAAGAATCTCTCGTTTCTTTGCGGCCATTACTTGCATTAATGCTTCCATGTTATTTTTTGTCTTGTGAAATTGGGTAAGAATATTTTTAGTCCGATACAAAATAGAATTGAACATGCACAAGATTGTAAAAACACAAAAAAGGGTGTGATTTGTTAGTAACCTTTTTTTTTTAAGCGTCCTAATTTGAATGTAAAATCAATCAAAAATAATTATGTATTCGCGTACTATAACAAAAAGTTAATTGCACAAACAATAATATAATTCAAAAATAAAAACCATCTAAATTAATTATACCAAAATTAGTGCCGACCTTTGACAAATAGATACTGGAAGAACATCAAGAATGAGTCCATTTTATTGCAAGCACGAGGAAAGGTTTTTATCGATTGCAATCACCAAAAAGACAACTTTGCCATGTTGCTAAATTGATTGAGATCTCGTCGATTCATGAGAAGCCGTTGGAACACAATTGAGAAAAAGTCTGTGAAAGAAGGAAGTGTCAAGAGGAAGCGCTTTGGTGTCATTATAAAAAAGCAAGAGAGAGAAAATGAAAGTCTGACCAGAATATGAGCGATTTAAATTCCGCCATTGCTGAAAAGAATTCAACGTCCGTCTTCCGGCTGTGCGAAGATTTCTACATTAACACAAAAAAAGAGCGGCAGCTTTACCGTGGAGAAATGGATATGGCAGTATTGCTGGGCAGCTATATCATGGATGCTCGATTCTTTTGCGCATGTTTTGCCTTTCAAATAAATGGTGGCATTAACGTCACATGATGAGGCTCACTACAGATACCGCTACCGTCTCGCTATTGTATATATCGCTTTGCCGTTGTACTTGATCGATCAACAAACGACAGTATTCACTATCAATTGACTTGTAGTGTCAAATCACCTCCCGAGGAACACTGCCATGATTTAATTGACATGTACGTTGGTACCCTTCATCCGAATTGGGTATGGGAATGTCCGGTGAATGTCCGGTACGCTGCTCCAGAAATTGAACATACCTGCTTGGCTAGTTGTACTCACAAGCTCGTCTACTCATATAAGTCTTGCCTCTTGTAGCTCTGTCAGGATTGCAAAACGTAAAGCCTTCGTATTGTAACCTGCAAGGTTATAGTCGACAACACGTTTATGAGCAAGCAAAGCAACATCCTTTATCGGTTGTAGACCTTGACATCTGCAAGCATTCAACCACTACCTGCTGCAACCTTTTGCACCAGGCTGCATGCAGCTTCACGACTTTCGTTTGGGTCTCGAAGCTTTGGCTCCAAAAATCCGTCTTTACTGTCGTGTGTGCGTCACGAGTTCATTATTCTTTACATCTGTTCATAGCATAATTCCATGTGTCTTGTAGATACCTGATAACATCATGGTGAGACGCGTTTGGCAAGTTGACGATGCAAACGTATCCACCGAGCGTTCCATAGCTGTTTGCGCAAGTCTTTTTCGGGCAAAACGTGCAGCAAGAAATCCACGAGATAACTGGCACCCTCAAATCCAAAGGTCACTTCCAGATACTGCATAAAGAAGCGAGCTGTGGTGTGACCCTTGCCGAACTGTCGAGCCTGCCGATGAAAGAGGTAAAACAGATTCGGGTTGTGCTGACAATCGTCCCATACAGCATCCAGAATGGCGGAGTTGAGCGAGTCTGCCACGTGAAAGTCGAAAGCTAGTGCGAATGCGTCCGCTTCACTTGAAACAATTCGTTCAATCTCTGCCATAAAGCACCGTTCCATCTCGTCCAAGCCCGTCCACATCCGTCTTCGCTGTTGCTCTGTCAATATTGTCTCCTCGCTTCCCAAGACCGGTGACATACTTTCCGAAACAACACGTCTCCGTTCGGCCAGCAAGTATAAACCATTGACACATACGAACGTGGGCAGGATGTATCCACACGTCATGGTAATTCGACCACCTTCGCGAATCGACCGCAGACCAGCAAGTGGCAAAATCTGTTGCTCCGAGCCCTCATGATCGTTTGTAACCAGTTGGATACACAAATTCAGCATCGTAGCGAGCAACACGAGTTCTACCGCACCCACACGCATTTGTCGTCGAGACTTGAACTCATGCAATCTCTTTTTCAGATCTACTGCAGCTGTACAAAAATATCGTTCCAGTGTGTGTACGTGAAGCAGTCCATAATTTGCCAGCGTCTGACGCAGAAGATCTACACCATTAGATAATTGCAAATGGTCATTCGACAGTGCGTCCGATGGTTCTTGCGTCGAGATTCCGATCTCATTCGATGTCTTTGTGGGGAATCCAGTCAATGCATCATATAATCGTTTGTCCAAGTCGTTGAACTGCTGCAGTTTGTAAAGCACACAATACAGTGCTGTAAGAGCACCTCCTGGAGGTGCGTACGTTTGTTTGAGATCACGAAGTCGTAACATTTGCATCATTTTGTGGTGTGTTAAGTGGAAGGGCGAAACACGACAGGCACATTCATATCTGGTGCATATGATCAAGTTTCTTGCCTTGTCATCCATGAGATTAGCCTGGACTTCATCCAGTCTAGCATCATCACTCCGTCCTTCTAGCCTTCTAGCCGGTCTCCGTTGTTCAATCAACTGCTCTTCACTGTCTAATTCGTCAGTTTCTTCGTCGAACTCGACACCTTCCAAAGCACTGTACTCACTGCTGTCCACCGTCTCATCTATCCTGGCCTGTACATCCACGTCTCGATCTCGATAGTCCAAATAAAGCACACAGTTTTCAACCTGATTAGGCAGCACAGTCACCTTTGCCGTACTGAGACCTGCGTCAAAGTTGCAGAAACAGCGCAACATGAGCGGTGCTCTCGGGTCTAAAAACCTCGTGAGTCTCATGTGTGAATTGCTAAGCACTCGATCCAAATACTCGTTCAGCTCGGCGCAACGTTTGGCCAGGAACGTAGCGTTACGATGGCGTCGGAGCCACGTGCGACGTCGGTGTGGTACTGGCGGTGCCAATAGCTTCATGTCTTGTGAAAAAGCGTGTCTCAATTGCACATCCAGGGCCTGAAACTCGTGGAAATTTCGAAAGACTCGCCATGAAGCTTGCAATTGAGTACCGCCATGTCGAACGCTGCGGAATACGACGCGTGTGGACAATAAGAACTCGGGTTCTGTCATGACCGAGCGGTCGAATTGAGATCCGTCGATACGCACACGCACCTGCAGAATTGCAGTCACATCACTGATTGCAAGAGGCATTGACACTTTCCTATTTGTTTTATAATACTACTTTACGACAAAGTTACTATTATTTCTACCGACTTAATGAGACAAGTAGGTCCGACCGACGCAGGAAATTCGCGACTGAAGCTGAAGACGGGACACCGACCGAGTCAGGAGAACAGATGGCTACCTCTTTATCAGATGGAGAGCCTGCAAAAAGGATATATAGAATCAGATACAAGAGAGAAGATCAAGAAGGGATGGAAAGCGGTAGATGTAGATGTAGATCTACATATTCCAGACAACTTGATTATAGAGAGAGATTCAATATGAAAGAGGAAACGGCTTTTCACAGTCGTTTTCAAATCTGGTCTACACTCCTATTATCCAGCCAAAGGTAAACTGGCGACAGGCTTATAATACTAAGTCAAGTAGGCACAGTCAATTCCTGATCAAACATACATTGTCGCTGAGCTTCATATTACTTTCCTCTGGAGTCCATTTCAGTGGCAAAAAAGTCGAATCTGTCGTTGTCGAATCGCTCTGATGGACACATCCGCGCACATCTACGTCGCACTCATGTCCGTATCTTAATAACGGACAGCAATCAATTGTTTATTTTTTGCCTGGGACACCATGCCAGCCGACTTGACGCCTCATAACCTCATGATTACTTACAAACAGATTGATTTATTATTACAGGTGTAGGTACTATACCGGTTCAATGCAAATGCTGAATTCTGATCACCTAGTAATTAACGAAGCGATGTAATTAATACAATACAGTGTTGACACTAACATCTATTTCGTCCTGGCGTATAATTAATTAAAAAAAGCTCAGCAAAGACCTGTCTCCATTGAGCAGGTATACTTTATCTTTGCTTTTTTTTGTCTCTGTTTTTCGAGGGATAGGGCGTCAGCACTGTCACTCGTACCACTCTCTCTATCTTACCCAAAAATAGCAGTGAAAAAATGGGTATCGTGCAATTTTGGTCCAATTTCTAATAGCAAATGGCGAGTCTATCAGCGAGTGAGACCGAGTTCCTCGTACGTCCGAGGTGTAGGTCTGTCCAGTCTTAGTTGAGTATGCCATCTTACAACATGTACATGTATAGGCAGAGCAGGAGCTTATCGTTATTATGCCGCACTTTCATCTTCGTGAAAACAACGGTCTGCTGAACTTCATTAGCGTGAGTCATCAGTTTCTTGCATTTAAATAGAGCACTTTTGACATGTATTGAGTAGGGCGACTTTGGACCTTTTCAACCTGGTATTACCACACACGTACCACTGTGGCTTGCCATTATGCTCAAACAGCTCCACAAGTGTCGAATTTTGGCACCGTCATGGCTTTCAGTTGGTACTATTTCATGTATCGGAGCTCTTTAAAACAAAATGGGTCTATATGAAACATGTACCCAATTTTGACGAAATGGATCCATGTTGCAGACTATTTGACGTCGCGACTGGAGCGCGAGAAGTCGAGCGAAGTGTTTGAGGAATTGCCTTTTCACTACTTGGAGATAGCGTCGTTGCTGCTGAAAAAGTTGGTTCCATTTGGGTCATTATTGAACATTTTTGGCGTATTTGATGGGGTTTTTTACGTGATGATGTTTTGCAGTGCACCGGAGGATCTGGATCAAAGTGAACACATTCGTTCTTTATTGGAAGACCTACAGAACGTACGGCAGGATAAAATTCGAAACGGTCTGTCCAAGATTGCAGGTGATGTTCAAAGCGGTGAAACAGCTTTTGTCATTCAAATGAACAACATTTCCGCTCTAGAAATTAACTCTGTCCGTGAGTTTATGCTTGGGGTACGTTCTACATGACGTTGGTTTTACCTTGGACTGCGATAACATGTAACCTTTGTGCTCTGAAGTCTTTGGATCAGTTCTACCGTCTTTCACAACTCACGTCAGGAGCTGGTGCGTGCTTTCGTAGCAATGATCTGCTTGATTGGCTCAGCACAATGTCAATTTTCTAATGGTATTTATTGTTTATATGCGTACGATCACAGGTGAGGGGAATGTTCAGTCTCAGTCCCAGTCACAATCCCAGAGTTACTCAGAGCCTTCGTCAGGTAAACTGGATTGCTCGTCAACAGTTTTTATACTGATGCAGGGTATTCTTATAAGTTTATGTAATCTGTTTTGAGCAGCGGAAGTCCCTGCAGTACGTCGACTTCGACGGCATCGAGAGTAAGCGAGTGCTTCAAGTGCATATTCAAGAATACCCTACGCTTTGTTCGCGCTCGTGTGTGTGCTAGCTGATTAATTGCGAGTCCTTAACACACGAAGAGCTGCAATTATATCTTGCCGCTGTGGCATTGTTGAAGTATTACTTACCTCTCTATGTGTTGCTCGCAAGCACTAGTATAGTGACGTGACTACTTTTCGATCTGTCAACGTTAAAATTATGATCCTCAGTCTACGTTCGCATACGTGCAAAGCTAAATTGTAACAATAAGCTAAAATTTATCATTGCATACCACGTAACAAAGCGACCAGCTGTCCACACAGTATAAATAATTGTTGAAAATTTGACTGCTTATTATTAATCTTGCAAGGTTTTTTCTAACGATGTCCATATTTTGCAAGATTCGTACCTACCAAAGCAAACTTTGTACGATCGTAGCTACAACCCCTATTTTCGTACATTTTTGCTCTATTTTTTCACTGGTTCCGAACACCTTTGCTACTGTACGATAATGACCGATGGGGATCTATGGCGCGACCGTAACAAAGTGTTTGTAGCTGGTTTACCATTGCAAGTGGACGATAATGCACTGTATGAAAAATTCAAGTCATTTGGAGAAATGCATCAATCTAAGGTAGTGTACGACCAAAAGACTGGACGCTCCAAGGGTTTTGGATTTGTCACTTTCTGTGAATATACACATGCTTTAGATGCAGTGGCCCAATTAAACCAAACAAAATGGGACAAACGAACGCTTAATGTTCGCTTTTTGCAGCCCAAAAATGGGGCTGAAAATGGGTCTTTTTCAGCTCTTGTGCCGACGCCACGACCAAGTAAAGTCATTGGCCCACGACCAGAAGGTTGTACGACTATTTATGTGGGAAATTTGGCTTATGATATTACGGAAGAAGTTTTACGAAAAGTTTTTGACAAATGTGGCAGTATTCGTGCTGTTCGCTTTGCCGAACATATTCAGACCAAAGAATTTCGAGGTTTTGGGTATGTGCAATTTCATGAAGATGGACCATGTGAAGCTGCAATTAAACTCGACGGGATGGTAGTAATGGGTCGACCCATGAATATTGACTATGGAGCTAGAGATGAAGGATATGCACAAGCTCGAGAAGAGCTTCAGAAGAAATTGAAAAAAGGTGTTTGTCACAAATATCAGCAGGGACAATGTACACGTGGAGATGCTTGTAAATTTGCCCACGTGATGCAAGATCAAGATGCCGAAGAATTGGTGCAGCCAGCAGAGCGACCGGTGAGTGGAATTGCTCTTCCGGGGGCTACGTTTGGAGCAGCAGAAACAAAGTTGATGATACCTGTTGAGGAGCATACCCGAACAACGTTGGACGCACCGGTTTGTATTAATTTCCAAAAGGGAAAATGCAAACGTGGCAAAGAATGCAAGTTTCAACATTTGCATGGAAATGGAAACGGTGAAGTAGCTGCAACGGAAGAGAAGGAACATGTGGAAATACAAGCTGAAGATAATGTTGACGAGGAAGTTCCAGAGGTAGAGAAAACTCTTGCGGATGAAAGTGCACCTGTGTGTCAGAACTACCAGAGAGGCAAATGTAAACGTGGACCGGCATGTCGTTTCCGTCACGTATCTGCACCGGTAGGAAGCTATCAAGAGCCCGGAAACGAAGGACGGAAGGCTGTCGTTCGTGTGGCGCTGCCGGTTGCTGCAGTCGCTGAGGTGGCGGTGTGCAGGAATTTTCAGAAGGGTGTTTGTGCGCGGGGTGCGTCTTGTCGTTTTGCACACACCGGTCACATGGCGCAGGTAGTCGCTGTAGCTGCAGTCGAGGAAGTGAGTGAGTACCAAAAACGTTTTCAGAGCGTGTGCTACAACTGGCAGAGCAGCGGATCTTGCGCACGTGGTGATAAATGCCCGTTTCAGCATGATGAAGGAGGTCCCACCAAAAAACAGACTGAAAAAGCGGAGGCAAAGTTGTACAAGGAGAAGAAGCACAAGAAACACAAAGCGGATGACACTGAAGAAGAGAGCATGACAGAAAGCTTCCAAAAGAACAAGAAAAAGAAGAAAGACAAGAAGCGCAAGGCTGTAGAACAGATGGAAAGCGAAGATGGCTCGAAGAAAAAACACAAGAAGGACAAAAAGCGCAAGAGGAGCAAGGAGGCTGACAGTAAATCGACTGTACAGCGCGTCGTTCGCCGCGCAAATGTCTCGAGTAGCGGGGATCGGTAGACTGCTTTGTTGCTTGTTACCTCGATAACATAAATGATAGATTTGTTTTGACCCGACCAAGTTTTTTGATCTAATGACACTTTCTATTTGCATTATGTAGGTTCAACTCATTCGTACGATACATTAATGAATCCATGGTTGGCGAGCATCAGCTCTTCTAATATGCGCGTCTATACCGAGCACTGGTCTCTAAAAATCGGCTGGACTCGCCAAACCTGTCATCAAGCACGCAAAAAACATGTCCACATTGGCCATTGCAACACCTGCAGCTTCTTTTCAAGCATTAACGATCCACTTGTGCTCGAGCACTTGAGCGGCACTGATGCGTTTCTCCGGATCCACAGTCAGCATTTGACGTACGAGATTTCTCGCACTGTCCGACATACAGAGCCATCCGATAGACTCCTGGTCAAAGTTTCCCCTCAGAATTCGTTGCTGAATCTCTTCGTCCGTTGCATCATCTGACGGATCGAACGGGTGGAGACCGCACAGTACAATGTAAAGCACGACTCCAAGCGACCATACATCCATGGCACACCCCGTTTCCCGGTGATTAATAAACTCAGGAGGCGCGTACGCTGTCGTACACGCGCTCATCTTGTGACCGTTTTCATGGTCCAACTGGAACGATTGGCCAAAGTCAATAAGTCTCAAGCCCGTCTGTTCAAGCAAAATGTTTTCCGGCTTGACGTCAGCATGTACCACATGCTTCGAGTGCAGATACTGGAGCGTCACAGCCAGTTCACGTACTAGGTCCTTTGCTTTCTGTTCACCAAAGACGCCATGTTCCACCAGATCTTCGTACAATTCTTCACCTTGTACTAATTCCGTCACTAAAATATAAGCGTCCGATGTCTCAAACGCTTCACGGAGCTCCAGAATATTATGTGTCCCACCGACTTGTCGAAGAATCTCCACTTCTTGTAGAAAATTCTCTTTGGTCGTGAGCTGCTTCGACATTTGTTTAATGGCTACACGAGCGTTCGAAGTTTTATGACGACCCACGTGCACAAGGGCAAAACCTCCTTCTCCAATGACACCCTCAACATCATAATCTTGTTGCAGACGGTTGTGTCTTACACACCATGAGTCTATGGAGTTGCGTTGGTGCAAAGGCTGCTGTTTTAAAGCGGTCGTCACGGCGTGCGGTATCAGCAGAGCCGAGCTAGCGCCCATGGGTCTTCGTGCTGCATCCTGGCGAGCAGCGTCCTGTGTGTAGCCTGTACATATTGCCACAGCAGTGCAAAGTGCACTAGCTCGAGCCATATGCCACGGTAAATGCAAGAGACATTTGCTCGACATGTTACCAAAGGTCATTTTTCAAGAATGAATGTACGTTTTGTAATGGCAAATTGCGGAATGGAAGACGATGGTGTGGAATCATCTGGGACAAGGCAGTAAAAAGGCGGCTGTGAACAGCCAATCAAAGTGCATGATTATGACTCATGGGACAGAGACGGAACTACAGGCTGAAGTTGCTCGTGTTAAGAGAACAGTGATTGTGTTAGTAACACGAGAGCTGAAGTTGCTTACGCGGCAGCGATTCTACTTTGTCGCATGTATTATGGCAAAAAAATACGGTCGTCTATGCCAAATCGCCAGTGTAATGCTGACGATTTCGAGTAATCACGCCGGTAATATTCAGTACGGTACCCCACCAGAATCATACGTGCTTGAGCGATCTAGGCTGAAAAACGACTTTGATGGTCCTATGTAATGCCGCTACACCAAGCTGTGGTCACTATTGCATTTTAAGCGCATGCGTCTCCACTCTTTTTAAGTAAGGACAGCACAGCACAATCAATAGATCAACGATAGTTCGTGCTCCGTTTGAGCTTACGACTACATCAGACTCGCGACTGCCCTTGGGAATGAAGCTTTTAATCTTAGGTGCTGTGCGTGTGGGTGTGTGTGCATGATTTCAAATTCTGCTTCCGTTCGGCTTTCGCCTTCTTACCATCCCCATCCCCAGCCTCTGCCCCAGCCAAGTCCTCCCCAGCCAAGTCCGCCCCAGCCAAGTCCACCCCAAGGTCCAACGCCCCAGAACTGCTCCTTCTTGTTTCCATCAGGAGTCGTCATCCCACCAGGTGCCGCTTCTGCTGGCATAGCCGCCGAACGCAAAGCAGGTTGGTCGGCAGCAGAAACGTTGGCGATAGCAATTGCAGCAGCGACGGCAAGTGCGGAGATCTTCATCATCTTGAAAGTCGGGTGTACTTGTGCTCGTCGAAGCAAGTTGCGTTATGATGTGGTGGATATTCGTCTCCTCTGTCTTCATTTCGCTTTTCATTTCATCAGATCTTTTCTTAGCAATGTCTGCAAGAGCTTTACTCGCCATTTCTCTTTGAGTCGTCTCCTCTGGTTTCATTTCGCTTTTCATGTCGGAGGAATCAGTTCTTTTTCCTAGCAAAGTCTGCAAGAGCTTTTGTCGCCATTTCTCTTGGGTTGATTGACGTGATAGGTAGTCAAATGAGTTGCCAACCAAAAGTTAACACAAATCTATATATTTTGAGGATACATGGCATCCGTCTACCATCAGGCAAGCTTTCATCAAATGTATTTCGATGAGAGTGAAATTACTCGCTAGTGTTGTTTGGCTCGAGGAGCATAACATATACTGAAGGCAATAAACAGTACTGACAGATTATCCGCATAATACGAGCACATTGTCCAGCTACGGTATGATAAGCTACTATGCTGTGATGCATGATTTCATTGACAATTGCAAGTGCTTCCTATCGCGAAACCAGCATTTGTTACTGAGACGAATGCGCATTTTGATGAACTTTTCATAAAAATGCATGTATCGATAGCTCCCATTGAGTATGCAATCGGATACATCGATCAATAGTGTACATGTTTGCATTTCTAGACGAGGTATCGAGCATTTAGTATAATGTATGCTATCGATAGCCATACAATTGCCAGTTCAGCAAGACAATCAAAAGATCAACTTTAGTTCATTCTTGTCAAAACGACATGAAGTGCTCCGTTTGAGCTTACGACTACATCAGACTCGCGACTGGCCTTGGGAATGAAGCTTTTAATCTTAGGTGCTGTGCGTGTGGGTGTGTGTGCATGATTTCAAATTCTGCTTCCGTTCGGCTTTCGCCTTCTTACCATCCCCATCCCCAGCCTCTGCCCCAGCCAAGTCCTCCCCAGCCAAGTCCGCCCCAGCCAAGTCCACCCCAAGGTCCAACGCCCCAGAACTGCTCCTTCTTGTTTCCATCAGGAGTCGTCATCCCACCAGGTGCCGCTTCTGCTGGCATAGCCGCCGAACGCAAAGCAGGTTGGTCGGCAGCAGAAACGTTGGCGATAGCAATTGCAGCAGCGACGGCAAGTGCGGAGATCTTCATCATCTTGAAAGTCGGGTGTACTTGTGCTCGTCGAAGCAAGTTGCGTTATGATGTGGTGGATATTCGTCTCCTCTGTCTTCATTTCGCTTTTCATTTCATCAGATCTTTTCTTAGCAATGTCTGCAAGAGCTTTACTCGCCATTTCTCTTTGAGTCGTCTCCTCTGGTTTCATTTCGCTTTTCATGTCGGAGGAATCAGTTCTTTTTCCTAGCAAAGTCTGCAAGAGCTTTTGTCGCCATTTCTCTTGGGTTGATTGACGTGATAGGTAGTCAAATGAGTTGCCAACCAAAAGTTAACACAAATCTATATATTTTGAGGATACATGGCATCCGTCTACCATCAGGCAAGCTTTCATCAAATGTATTTCGATGAGAATGAAATTACTCGCTAGTGTTGTTTGGCTCGAGGAGCATAACATATACTGAAGGCAATAAACAGCACTGACAGATTATCCGCATATACGAGCACATTGTCCAGCTACGGTATGATAAGCTACTATGCTGTGATGCATGATTTCATTGACAATTGCAAGTGCTTCCTATCGCGAAACCAGCATTTGTTACTGAGACGAATGCGCATTTTGATGAACTTTTCATAAAAATGCATGTATCGATAGCTCCCATTGAGTATGCAATCGGATACATCGATCAATAGTGTACATGTTTGCATTTCTAGACGAGGTATCGAGCATTTAGTATAATGTATGCTATCGATAGCCATACAATTGCCAGTTCAGCAAGACAATCAAAAGATCAACTTTAGTTCATTCTTGTCAAAACGACATGAAGTGCTCCGTTTGAGCTTACGACTACATCAGACTCGCGACTGGCCTTGGGAATGAAGCTTTTAATCTTAGGTGCTGTGCGTGTGGGTGTGTGTGCATGATTTCAAATTCTGCTTCCGTTCGGCTTTCGCCTTCTTACCATCCCCATCCCCAGCCTCTGCCCCAGCCAAGTCCTCCCCAGCCAAGTCCGCCCCAGCCAAGTCCACCCCAAGGTCCAACGCCCCAGAACTGCTCCTTCTTGTTTCCATCAGGAGTCGTCATCCCACCAGGTGCCGCTTCTGCTGGCATAGCCGCCGAACGCAAAGCAGGTTGGTCGGCAGCAGAAACGTTGGCGATAGCAATTGCAGCAGCGACGGCAAGTGCGGAGATCTTCATCATCTTGAAAGTCGGGTGTACTTGTGCTCGTCGAAGCAAGTTGCGTTATGATGTGGTGGATATTCGTCTCCTCTGTCTTCATTTCGCTTTTCATTTCATCAGATCTTTTCTTAGCAATGTCTGCAAGAGCTTTACTCGCCATTTCTCTTTGAGTCGTCTCCTCTGGTTTCATTTCGCTTTTCATGTCGGAGGAATCAGTTCTTTTTCCTAGCAAAGTTTGCAAGAGCTTTTGTCGCCATTTCTCTTGGGTTGATTGACGTGATAGGTAGTCAAATGAGTTGCCAACCAAAAGTTAACACAAATCTATATATTTTGAGGATACATGGCATCCGTCTACCATCAGGCAAGCTTTCATCAAATGTATTTCGATGAGAATGAAATTACTCGCTAGTGTTGTTTGGCTCGAGGAGCATAACATATACTGAAGGCAATAAACAGTACTGACAGATTATCCGCATATACGAGCACATTGTCCAGCTACGGTATGATAAGCTACTATGCTGTGATGCATGATTTCATTGACAATTGCAAGTGCTTCCTATCGCGAAACCAGCATTTGTTACTGAGACGAATGCGCATTTTGATGAACTTTTCATAAAAATGCATGTATCGATAGCTCCCATTGAGTATGCAATCGGATACATCGATCAATAGTGTACATGTTTGCATTTCTAGACGAGGTATCGAGCATTTAGTATAATGTATGCTATCGATAGCCATACAATTGCCAGTTCAGCAAGACAATCAAAAGATCAACTTTAGTTCATTCTTGTCAAAACGACATGAAGTGCTCCGTTTGAGCTTACGACTACATCAGACTCGCGACTGCCCTTGGGAATGAAGCTTTTAATCTTAGGTGCTGTGCGTGTGGGTGTGTGTGCATGATTTCAAATTCTGCTTCCGTTCGGCTTTCGCCTTCTTACCATCCCCATCCCCAGCCTCTGCCCCAGCCAAGTCCTCCCCAGCCAAGTCCGCCCCAGCCAAGTCCACCCCAAGGTCCAACGCCCCAGAACTGCTCCTTCTTGTTTCCATCAGGAGTCGTCATCCCACCAGGTGCCGCTTCTGCTGGCATAGCCGCCGAACGCAAAGCAGGTTGGTCGGCAGCAGAAACATTGGCGATAGCAATTGCAGCAGCGACGGCAAGTGCGGAGATCTTCATCATCTTGAAAGTCGGGTGTACTTGTGCTCGTCGAAGCAAGTTGCGTTATGATGTGGTGGATATTCGTCTCCTCTGTCTTCATTTCGCTTTTCATTTCATCAGATCTTTTCTTAGCAATGTCTGCAAGAGCTTTACTCGCCATTTCTCTTTGAGTCGTCTCCTCTGGTTTCATTTCGCTTTTCATGTCGGAGGAATCAGTTCTTTTTCCTAGCAAAGTCTGCAAGAGCTTTTGTCGCCATTTCTCTTGGGTTGATTGACGTGATAGGTAGTCAAATGAGTTGCCAACCAAAAGTTAACACAAATCTATATATTTTGAGGATACATGGTGCTGAATTGATATATGTAGAAGAAGGCAAATTGTGAAGTAAATATATTTTGTCCTTAGTTCACTACCTTGAGCTACATCTAAGCCTTTCCTCGTCAGATCTTTGTTACTGACGTCATCTAGATATGTCCGTTAATATCTTCATGTCCTTTCAGGTATTGGCCTTTATCATATCCGTATCCTGAAACGTCAGGATACGAATATGATATCATATAACGCCATTCGCCTATCCAACATGCATTCAGCGGTGAAATATCAACACTCCCACTCACCGCTTATGCTGACTGCGCCTTGGTCCGATTCCACTTGCTTGGAGCAAGTACTTAAGTCGCTTCGTCCCTAGTGCCTTGGTCAACATGTCTGCCAGCTGGTCCACCGTTGACTTGTACTTGACCACAATAATGTCTTGAGCCACATTCTCTCGGATGAAGTGGTGACGGATGTCGACGTGCTTGGTCCTGGCATTGTATCCTGAGTTGCTTGCAAGCCCAATCGCACCTTGATTATCTTCATAGACCAAAGTCGCTCCCACTTGCTCATGACCGAGATCCTTGAGCATCGCGCGGACCCACAGTACTTCCTGGGTACAAAAGCTTAAGGCCATATACTCCGCCTCTGCCGAACTCAATGCCACAGTGCGCTGGTACTTGGACTTGAACACGACTGGTGCGCCACCAATCATCACCATTATGCCTGAAACCGAGCGTCGATCGTCGATGTTGCTTCCCCAGTCCGCGTCCGTGTATGCTGTTGCTTGGACCTCGCTTGCGCTGCCGTCGTAGATTATGCCGTAGTCTCTTGTAGTCTTGAGATATCGAAGAACACGAATGGAAGCCTTCCAATGTTGTTGACCAGGATTTTCCAAAAAACGTGACAACTGTGTGATTATATACGCCACATCAGGTCGCGTACATGTTGTGATGTATAGCATACATCCAATCAACGACCTGTACGGCTTCGACTGCATTTCTTCTATTTCAGCGTCCGTAGCTGGTGATTGTATCTTTGATAGCTTCAATCCAGACTCGCATGGGTTGACAACTGCCTTGGCTTCATCTTGGTTAAATCGGCAGACCACGTCATCGATATAGCGAGTCTGACGAATCATCAGCGTACTGTCGTTACGATCATGATCGATCTCCATACCTAGAATAAACTTGACCTCACCGAGCTCCTTCATCTTAAACGAATTTTTCAGTGCTTTCTTGACTTCCTGGATCTCTCTACTGGTCTTGGCAGCGATGATCATGTCGTCGACGTAAAGACACACATAGACGAAGCTGCCATTGTTGACCTTGACATAGACGCACTGATCTGCTCCACTGCTTTGAAAACCAATTTGCAGGAACACAGCATGGATAGTCTTGTTCCATGCACTCGCAGCTTGTTTGAGTCCGTAAATTGCCTTGTCTAGCTTGCACATCATCTTTTCAGCATTTTTTATGCCATTAGGTACTTCCATGTACACCTCTTCTTTGAGATCACTGTTTAGAAACGCCGTGTCTGCATCCATCTGTTCGGTCACGTATACCTTCGCCACCACCACAGCCAGCACGAGCCTGATCGAGTTCATGTTTGCTACGGGTGAGTACGTCTCAAAAAAATCGACACCGAACTTCTGCTTGAATCCTTTTGCGACAAGTCGGGCCTTGTACCGCACCGCCTGTCCGTGCTCGTTGCGCTTTTTAGCGAATACCCACCTGCATCCGATTATTCGGACGTTCTTCATCTTCGGGACAAGACTCCATGAACCATTTTCTGAATGAGCTTTAAGCTCAGCGCTCATAGCCTTCACCCATTCCTTGACTTCGTCGCTGTCCATGGCTTGCTGATATGTCGTCGGTGCATCATTTGCATCACCAATACTTGCCGCATATGCTAGTACAGCTTCTGCAAGCAGGTTATCTTCATCAATACGAGGTCGTTTGGGTGACGGCGGATAGAAATGATCGTCATTGTCAGGATCATCGTCGCTATCCATTGTGTTCTCGTCAGCCATAATCAATCCATTCCCAAGAAGAAGTGATAGTTCTCTTGGACGTCGAGATCGTTCCCTTTCGGGCCTGAAAACCATGTCACCGTTTACTGTTAACTCATGTTGTCGATGATATGTCGTTAATTCTCTTCCTGATGATATAGGCTCATGTTCATCTTCTTGCATCTCGACGTCTTCAAATGGGTCCGCTGTAGATTCCATTGGTTCATCCTCCACAGGATGTTCCTTCTCATTTTCCGGCTGAGCCACTTCTTCGATGTCCTTTATCACGTTGATGACTTCAGTCTTTTCTGTCATCGTCGACGTGCTATAAATTCCATTCACTTCGCGTTCGTCGAGCTTCACTGATCTTGATATCTTGACTTTATTTAGCTCCAGATCATAGACGCGATAGCCCTTCGTATTGACCCCATAGCCAAGAAACATACACTTGAAGCTTTTTTGGCTCGAGCTTGGTGCGCTTAGCGTTGTCGACATGAGCATAACCAATTGATCCAAACACTCGCAAGTGGTCTAGTCGAGGCTTCATCTTAAATCCAATCTCGTATGGAGTCGCGTCAGTGTGTGTGCTATTTGTTGTCCTTTTAATTAAGTACACTGCCTGCTAACTGCCTCTGCCCACCAGGAAGTAGAAACACCCTTGTAGTGCATCATGCTCCGTGCCTTCTCCATAATCGTTCGGTTCATCCGCTCAGCCACTCCATTTTGTTGAGGGCTGTATGGCACAGTCTTTTGATGAAAAATTCCGTTACGCTGACAGATTTCATCCATGGCCTTGTTTACAAACTCAGTGCCGCTGTCAGAACGTAGACACTTGATGCGCTCTCCCCACTGATTCTCGTACATGGTCTTGAAAGACTCAAATCTTCTCGGCACTTCGCTCTTCTTCTTAAGGAAGTATTCCACAACGTACTTTGAGTAGTCGTCAACAAAGGTAAGCATATACTTTGCGCCACCTTTTGATCTCGTCTTCATCGGTCCCATTACGTCCGTGTGCACATGTTCCAGAACACGAGACGTCTTCGTCTGTGAATGAGATGGGAATTGTGTCACCGTTTGCTTGCCTTTCAAGCATCCACTGCATAGCGCCTTCGTCTTGAAATTGGTAATTGTAATACCAGTCGTCACACGCTGCGTTTCCAGCGCGTCCTTGTTCAAGTGACCCATACGAGCGTGCCAAAGATCATAATTGCTATCGACGTCCGAATATTCCACGTATTGCGCCGTTTCCTGCTGACATTCTAGTATGTAGGCCTTGCCGACCTTTTTCCCCGAGGCGGTGGCTTGCTTTTTGTTCCAAATGATACATGATGTGCGCTCGAACTCAACATTGAGTCCGCGTTCTGCAAGCTTGCCGACCGATAGTAGTCGTCGATCCAGGCCAGGGATGTGGAGAACATCTAACATCCGAATGCGCTTGCCGTCAATGCCCGTTAAACGCACCGATCCGGTTCCTACCACACGGATCTTCTTTCCATCCGCGATGGTCACCTCAATGCTTGTCACTAGGTTTTTGTAGTCGAACAAGTCTTCTCGGTGCGGCGTCATGTGTGCCGTTGCACCACTGTCGATCAGCCACCCTGATGATCGACTCTCCCCGGCAGCGAAAACAGCGTCCTCTTCATTTTTGCCAGGCCCCTTAAAGTCCGGGCAGTCCCGCTTCATGTGACCGAACTTGTCACAGTTGAAGCATTTGCCTTTGAACCCACTTCGTTTCCTCGAGATGTTGTCCTTGCGTCCATTGTTCCTTCCGCTCTTGTCGAACCTTGCGTTCTTCGACTTTATCCCATGTGTTGTAGCCTTTAGCGCGCGTTCCGTGGCTTCCTTCTTGTCCTGTCGCTCATACTCCTTAAGAAGCTTCTCCTTTACCTCAATGAGAGTGACGTCCTTGGCGTTCTCCACGATCGACGCGATGATCTCGTACTCTGCAGGCAGACTGCTGAGCAAAACCACGAGCTGTCGCGCTTCGTCAATTGGCTCTCCCAGAGACTGGAGACCAACAATTAGTTCATCGAACTTGTCCAGATGCTGGGTCATCGTCACGCCGTCGTCCATCTTAAAATCATGAAGACGGCGAGTCATCGTCACCCGATTGTGCATCGTCGTACGATTGTAGAACTCACGCAACGTAATCCATGCCTGGATAGCCGTCGTTGCCGACCGAATCTTGGTGTGATGCTCCACCGCAATGCCTTGAGCAATCAATCCCAGTGCCTTCATGTCATTAATCACCCACGCTTCAGTCATCTCAGCTTCGGGCTTGGCCATCTGGATGTGTGCTAGCAGTCCCTTTCTCGCCAGCGTCATTCGCATGACAAACCCCCAGTGGAAGTAATTGTCGCTCCCAAGGATGACTTCAGCCCTTTTCGCAGACATGGGAGCGGCGAAGTTGTTCTTGAGCGTCTTGCGACTGTTAACCTGTTGAATTGATATATGTAGAAGAAGGCAAATTGTGAAGTAAATATATTTTGTCCTTAGTTCACTACCTTGAGCTACATCTAAGCCTTTCCTCGTCAGATCTTTGTTACTGACGTCATCTAGATATGTCCGTTAATATCTTCATGTCCTTTCAGGTATTGGCCTTTATCATATCCGTATCCTGAAACGTCAGGATACGAATATGATATCATATAACGCCATTCGCCTATCCAACATGCATTCAGCGGTGGAATATCAACACATGGAATCCGTCTACCATCAGGCAAGCTTTCATCAAATGTATTTCGATGAGAATGAAATTACTCGCTAGTGTTGTTTGGCTCGAGGAGCATAACATGTACTGAAGGCAATAAACAGTACTGACAGATTATCCGCATATATGAGCACATTGTCCAGCTACGGTATGATAAGCTACTATGCTGTGATGCATGATTTCATTGACAATTGCAAGTGCTTTCAATCGCGAAACCAGCATTTGTTACTGAGACGAATGCGCATTTTGATGAACTTTTCATAAAAATGCATGTATCGATAACTCCCATTGAGTATGCAATTGGATACATCGATCAATAGTGTACATGTTTGCATTTCTTGACAAGGTATCGAGCATTTAGTATAATATATGCTATCGATAGCCATACAATTTTATTGATATTTCACCGCTGAATGCATGTTGGATAGGCGAATGGCGTTATATGATATCATATTCGTATCCTGACGTTTCAGGATACGGAAATGATAAAGGCCAATACCTGAAAGGACATGAAGATATTAACGGACATATCTAGATGACGTCAGTAACAAAGATCTGACGAGGAAAGGCTTAGATGTAGCTCAAGGTAGTGAACTAAGGACAAAATATATTTACTTCACAATTTGCCTTCTTCTACATATATCAATTCAACAGGTTAACAGTCGCAAGACGCTCAAGAACAACTTCGCCGCTCCCATGTCTGCGAAAAGGGCTGAAGTCATCCTTGGGAGCGACAATTACTTCCACTGGGAGTTTGTCATGCGAATGACGCTGGCGAGAAAGGGACTGCTAGCACACATCCAGATGGCCAAGCCCGAAGCTCGGCTGCACACTGGTCGCGTACCAAAAGCGCGTCATTGTACCCGACAGCCTGCGCGATGACCTAATTAATTGGTACCATCTGAGTCTCAGTCACCCGGGAAGTGAACGCCAGTACAAGACGATGAGACAGGTGCTTTACTGGCCCGGCATGGAAGCCGCTATAAACAAGGAGACGAAGAATTGCCTCGTTTGCAAGAAGGCCAAGTTACATGGAGGCAAGCAAGACTACGGATTATTGCCACCTCGGACACTCAAGACAGTGAACCCTTTCGACAAAGTTCATGTTGATTTAATTGGTCCATACGAAGATGGATATTATGGCATCACAATGGTCGATCACGCCACGCGATGGCTGGAAGTGGGTATCCAGCCTGATAAAAGTTCTTTGACCACAGCCGAGAGCTTCGATCGTGAATGGCTATGCAAATACCCGCGTCCAGTAAAAGTCATTTATGACCAAGGGACAGAGTTTACTGGTAAAGAGTTTCAGGAGATGCTGCGCAGCTACGGAATTCAGTCCAAGCCCATCACAAGCAAGAACCCACAAGCGAACGCAATATGTGAGCGCGTGCATTTGGAGATTTTGAATGTCATCCGTTGCTACGATGGAGCTGACTGGAAGAAGACCATACACTACGCTGCGTTCGCCGTGAGAGCTAGCTACCACAGTATTCTCAATGCTTCGCCAGGTCAGCTTCTCTTCGGGCAAGACATGATCACTCGTCAGCTTTACAATGCTAACTGGAGCTACCTATCCAAGCGCCGTTTCGATGCAATCCTCGCTGACAACGACCGCGAAAACAGCAAACGCCTCGAGCATTTTTACAATGCACGCGATCACGTGATGATGCGGATTTCCAAACAATTTCGTGCGAAGCTTCACGCCGTGGCACAAGGACCGTTTCTAATACGTGCAGTTCATGACAACGGAACTGTCACGATAGACAAGGGCAAAGCGACCGAGCGTGTGAGTATCCGACGCATTTTTCCATGCTGATTCTCACAGATCATGGGGAGAGTATGACACAGGTGGTATGGTTAATGACCTGCGAGAACCAAGATGATAACCAAGATGATGACCAAGATGATGGCCAAGATGATGACCAAGATGATGACCAAGATGATGACCAAGATGATGACCAAGACGATGACCAAGATGATTGCGCAAGTACTTTCATTAGTTGGGTTAGTCTAGCCTACCATATAACCCTCCAACAAATACATTCTCAATTTTACCTTTGACTCTGCAAGCCACGGGAATCTTGGTGCTCTCGTAGTACAGGACCATGCATGACACTTTCTGGCTCATCCGTCGTCGAACAAACCTCCTCCGCAAGCTGCAACTTAGACTTTGTCTCTAAGTTGTCAAATCGCATCCGCGAAAAAGCGTCAGCACCAACATTTTTTGAGATGACTGAAGCGTGGGTGATTAATGACATGAAGGCACTGGGATTGATTGCTTAAGGCATTGCGGTGGAGCATCACACCAAGATTCGGTCGGCAACGACGGCTATCCAGGCATGGATTACGTTGCGTGAGTTCTACAATCGTACGACGATGCACAATCGGGTGACGATGACTCGCCGTCTTCATGATTTTAAGATGGACGACGGCGTGACGATGACCCAGCATCTGGACAAGTTCGATGAACTAATTGTTGGTCTCCAGTCTCTGGGAGAGCCAATTGACGAAGCGCGACAGCTCGTGGTTTTGCTCAGCAGTCTGCCTGCAGAGTACGAGATCATCGCGTCGATCGTGGAGAACGCCAAGGACGTCACTCTCATTGAGGTAAAGGAGAAGCTTCTTAAGGAGTATGAGCGACAGGACAAGAAGGAAGCCACGGAACGCGCGCTAAAGGCTACAACACATGGGATAAAGTCGAAGAACGCAAGGTTCGACAAGAGCGGAAGGAACAATGGACGCAAGGACAACATCTCGAGGAAACGAAGTGGGTTCAAAGGCAAATGCTTCAACTGTGACAAGTTCGGTCACATGAAGCGGGACTGCCCGGACTTTAAGGGGCCTGGCAAAAATGAAGAGGACGCTGTTTTCGCTGCCGGGGAGAGTCGATCATCAGGGTGGCTGATCGACAGTGGTGCAACGGCACACATGACGCCGCACCGAGAAGACTTGTTCGACTACAAAAACCTAGTGACAAGCATTGAGGTGACCATCGCGGATGGAAAGAAGATCCGTGTGGTAGGAACCGGATCGGTGCGTTTAACGGGCATTGACGGCAAGCGCATTCGGATGTTAGATGTTCTCCACATCCCTGGCCTGGATCGACGACTACTATCGGTCGGCAAGCTTGCAGAACGCGGACTCAATGTTGAGTTCGAGCGCACATCATGTATCATTTGGAACAAAAAGCAAGCCACCGCCTCGGGGAAAAAGGTCGGCAAGGCCTACATACTAGAATGTCAGCAGGAAACGGCGCAATACGTGGAATATTCGGACGTCGATAGCAATTATGATCTTTGGCACGCTCGTATGGGTCACTTGAACAAGGACGCGCTGGAAACGCAGCGTGTGACGACTGGTATTACAATTACCAATTTCAAGACGAAGGCGCTATGCAGTGGATGCTTGAAAGGCAAGCAAACGGTGACACAATTCCCATCTCATTCACAGACGAAGACGTCTCGTGTTCTGGAACATGTGCACACGGACGTAATGGGACCGATGAAGACGAGATCAAAAGGTGGCGCAAAGTATATGCTTACCTTTGTTGACGACTACTCAAAGTACGTTGTGGAATACTTCCTTAAGAAGAAGAGCGAAGTGCCGAGAAGATTTGAGTCTTTCAAGACCATGTACGAGAATCAGTGGGGAGAGCGCATCAAGTGTCTACGTTCTGACAGCGGCACTGAGTTTGTAAACAAGGCCATGGATGAAATCTGTCAGCGTAACGGAATTTTTCATCAAAAGACTGTGCCATACAGCCCTCAACAAAATGGAGTGGCTGAGCGGATGAACCGAACGATTATGGAGAAGGCACGGAGCATGATGCACTACAAGGGTGTTTCTACTTCCTGGTGGGCAGAGGCAGTTAGCAGGCAGTGTACTTAATTAAAAGGACAACAAATAGCACACACACTGACGCGACTCCATACGAGATTGGATTTAAGATGAAGCCTCGACTAGACCACTTGCGAGTGTTTGGATCAATTGGTTATGCTCATGTCGACGACGCTAAGCGCACCAAGCTCGAGCCAAAAAAGCTTCAAGTGTATGTTTCTTGGCTATGGGGTCAATACGAAGGGCTATCGCGTCTATGATCTGGAGCTAAATAAAGTCAAGATATCAAGATCAGTGAAGCTCGACGAACGCGAAGTGAATGGAATTTATAGCACGTCGACGATGACAGAAAAGACTGAAGTCATCAACGTGATAAAGGACATCGAAGAAGTGGCTCAGCCGGAAAATGAGAAGGAACATCCTGTGGAGGATGAACCAATGGAATCTACAGCGGACCCATTTGAAGACGTCGAGATGCAAGAAGATGAACATGAGCCTATATCATCAGGAAGAGAATTAACGACATATCATCGACAACATGAGTTAACAGTAAACGGTGACATGGTTTTCAGGCCCGAAAGGGAACGATCTCGACGTCCAAGAGAACTATCACTTCTTCTTGGGAATGGATTGATTATGGCTGACGAGAACACAATGGATAGCGACGATGATCCTGACAATGACGATCATTTCTATCCGCCGTCACCCAAACGACCTCGTATTGATGAAGATAACCTGCTTGCAGAAGCTGTACTAGCATATGCGGCAAGTATTGGTGATGCAAATGATGCACCGACGACATATCAGCAAGCCATGGACAGCGACGAAGTCAAGGAATGGGTGA